CAGAGAATCTTGAATACATGTCTCACAGGTAGGGAGGGATTGTTGTACCTCAGATTGTGTGGCTTATAGCAGAAGAAGTTTATTCTTGCAAAATCTTGAGCTAGCATTTAGAACTCAGTGGGCCAGAAGGTTAATACTCACTCTAGGAATGCTTCCCCCTGCTACTGGCAGCTGTCATTGGTCCTTGATTTATGGCAGCATCTACCCAGATGCCAAATAAGCTTTCTTCATTTCTCTGGGACCTCTTCTGCCTCAGATATCTGAGCTCTCAGCAACACTTGCTAATGCGTATAGGATGAGTTCACTTCCAACATCCTTACATCTGTAAACATTTTTTCCCAAGTAAGCTCACAGTCAGGGCAGGGGAGATGGCTTAACAGATAAAGCACTTGCCATGCAGCATGAGGACCAGGGTTCTTACACAAAAGCCAGGTAGGAGTGGGGCATGCCTGTAATCCCAGCACACACTGGAGGGGTGGGGACAGGGACTCCTCAGAGCAAGCTGGCTAGCCAGACCACTGATGGCTCCATAAGCTCTGGTTTCAGGGAGAGACCCTACCTCAATAAAGTGGTAGTGATCAAGGAAGATCCAGTGTCAGCATCTTGCTTGTAACCCCCCCAACACACACACGTATGTGTGAACATGCATCCATACATACACATTGAAGAAAAAAACATGTTCATAGCTTTTGTGGTTAGGATGCAGATATATACACCTTTTGGGAACCTCCAGTTGTCCCACAAATATCTATATATCAGGAAGAAGCACAAATATCTATATATCAGGCAATAAAGCAAAGCTGTTTCTATTCCTGGAAATGGAAGTAATGGGGTCCTAGGCCCTGCCCTACTCAGGACCACCCTTGCCATCCTAGCCTCCTGCTGCCTGGGAGCCTTTGCAAAAGACTTCCTAAGCCTTCGAGGAACACGCTTGAGGAACCATTAACCAAGAGATGGCAAGGAAGTTTTGGCACCTGCTTGGGTGAGGGACCCGTTTGGTCTGGCCGCTCTCCAGCAGTCCACACACGCAGTAACCAGAGACCAGGGATAGCAGGTACTTACTGAGAAATACCCTTTTAGTGCCCGTCTTTGGATTTTATGTTGAAGTGTGATTCGGGTTAAATATAAAATTCACAGCATATCTTGAGCAACTATTTTGTAGTTATCTATATATAAATCTATTTTACAGTGACACAAATAGAATAGATTATGGAGTGTCAGCATGTAGATAGATTCCGAGTGCTTTTCCACTAATATACCTAATGATTCGTGCTGAGAATATTCAAGGGCTCCACTGTACATTTAAATGGATATAATTAAAATAATGAGCTCTATTTTAAAAAATGATATATGAAAAAAAATTTTAAGAAGTTGGAAGGAGCTGCGCCACTAATTCAAAGTGATCTAAGTACTTGTGATGCCGTTGTTATTAGGACACCTAATTAAATGTGGAGCAGCTGAGGAAGAGAGGGGTCTGGGCATGTAAATCTCAGTGCAGGAGTTGGAGAAGAGATGGAAGCTGCCTGTGTCCTTGGCACCACAACCATTTACAGAAGGGGAGCTGGTGGCTCTATGCCATGCCGTTGTGCACACTTGTGGTGAGAAAGTGGTTCTCGTGGCCCCCATCTTCTGGAGGCTGAGTCAGGGGTCAGGCTGCTCACACAGCTGCAGCTGGATTTGCAGGGCAAGCTCTTACTCATTTAGAATGTGGCAAAAGTGGGGAGGGGAGCATGAAGAGGTACCGCCTGCCTTCTGCAGGTATGAATCTACCTGCCCTTGGGAGGAAGTCTATCGCTCTTTCTCACTTCAGAACCCTGGTGACTTGGCTGGAGGTCCCAGGGCTTAGGAGATGTGGCCTCAAGTCCTGAGCTGTCTCCATGCTCTGAGTCTCCCTATGATATACTTCCACCAAGGCTTATTGCAGATGGGTATGGCTACCTTAAGCATGGATCCATCTACTGTCCCAGTGGACCCTTGTCATTCACAGCTGACAGAAATCCTGTGCCCGTTCACCAGGAGGCAAGTCTTCTCTTGATCATTAAGCAAGTATGGCATTTATGGAGCATCTCCTGTATGCTAGAGATACGGGGGTACACAGGCTGCTCTTGGAGAGTGGATGATTTGGGGAGGCATTAATGGACAAGACATTTTCAGATAGTAGCCAGGGCTGTGAAGAAAATAGAACAAGGTGATGACTGAGAGGCTGGCCAGTGAAGTCAGAAAGGGGAAAAGTGTGCCAAAGAGGATGCATAGGCATGCTGGATAGATAGGGGAGTCACTTGTGGGAGGAGCACATGACTTCTGCAGAGGGAATATGGCTCCATTATGCTGGGAAGGCTTCAAGGTGGCTGGAGTGACATCATGAACCACTGTCTTAATCATAGTGATAACTACTTGAAATTTGTAAGGATATCTGCTTCAGGCCAGCCCCCCCCCCCGACTCCTCAGAGATGTTCCCCCCTTCTAGTCTCCAGCAAGGACCCTCACAATACACACATGGAAACGAAGGCTCAGGGAGGGTTTTTCAACCAACATTGCAGGGTATATGGGCAAGCAGGTTAGGGTTACAGTGTCTGTCTGACCCATGGTGCCTTTTTCCCCCATGGGATGGCCTGGAACCAAGAAGGACCTTGTGATCAAGACGGGGCATGGTGTCTGTTCAGGGTGGGTAGTGGGGCTGAAGTTGAGAACATGGTGAAGCAAGCTGGGGAGGAGAGAGTGATGTCCCTTCCTATCCTATTTCTGAGCTTTCAAACCTAAGAGATCAGGACTCAGCCAGGCCTTTAATAGCTCCCTTCATATCTGAAAATGTGATTCATGGCCATTTTTATCAATCAGTGTGTTAATTTCTGGCTCCTGGGCAGCTCTGGTTCTTATTCCTTCTCCCAGCAGTGGCGGAGCTAGGGCTTGGAGACCCATGAGTTGAAGGCATTGTGTAGGCCGTGCGCGTCTGTGCTATGTAACAGTCTTCCCTTGAATCTTCTGTCTTCTCTCTAGCAGTCTGTCTCTGTTGATGTGAGAAAATGCTCAAGGCTGAGTAGTTTATAAAGAAAAGAGGTTTACTCAGTTTGCACTTGTGGAAGTTCAGGAGCCAGCATGAGCTCAGCTCTGGTGAAGTCTCCTGGCAGATGGCTTCATAATGATGTAATAGCAAGTCATTATTAATGGGCCAAGTACTCCGCCAAGTGTTTTCTGTTTGTTCACTAATTAAATCTCATGTGACAACCCTGTCAGATGTGCTTTGCAGATGAGGAGACCCTGACTTCCAGGTGAGGTGGTGGGTCTAAGCTTCACATCTCAGAAGCAGCAGCCATCCCTGTGTTGTTTTCCTTGGATGGTGGTAGCAGACTGCCTGGGTGATTAATGGAACACCAGGGCATAGTGTTTAACCAAGCTGGAGATTTGAGGCCAACTCAGGGGTCAGGTGGCTCGGAGGAGGGCCCACTACCAAGCTTGCAGACAACCACTGTGGCCTCCATTGGAGAGAATGACTTTTGTACATTTATTTATTTATCTTGGAGCCAGGGCATGTTATGAAGTGTGTAGAGGATAGAGAGCAACCTGTTGGAGTCAATTCTCTCTTTCCACTATGTGGTGACAGGCATGAAACTCAGGTCATCAGGCTTGGTGACAAATGCCTTTACTGGCTGGTCCAAGAATGTCTCTTATAAGTCACTAATCTCATCATGAATTCTCCTCCATGGTGATCTCATTTAACCCTAATCACCTCCTGATCATTCCAGCCCCAGAAGCAGCCATGTTTGCAGTTTGGATATGAACATGTGGATTTGGAAGTGGGTGGGAACACTTAGGTTCAGAGTACCTCCCCAGTAGCCTTTCTCTGTGCCTCCCTTGCAAGCATGCCCTCCAGGATTCTCTCTTTGCTCAGCATCAGCCCCTTCCCCCTCTGGGAGCAGCTGAAGCTGGTCAGCTCATACAGTCAAACAATTGCTCCTCAACTATTGGAGCTGTCAAGACCCAGAGAACATGGCTTATACAGGTCTACACAGCGGGACCGGGTGGATCCAGGACCAAGTCCCAAGCCCTGCCTCCCCCTCTCCATGCCTTCACAGGGCTCCACTTTGCTTGTCATGTGGCCAGGCCTGAACATGCCTTGAGTCTAGGCTTCTCAAAGGGCCAGGCATAGACAAGCAATATCCGTGGACCTGGAATGAGATTTGATTTTCATCCTTTGTGTCTGCCTTGTCTTCCTCACCTTCCAAACAGAAGTTGTGAGGATACTTCACCTACTGAAAGGATGTGGGAGCCATGGGGAATCATGTTGAAGGAGTGACATGGGTGTGGGTGCCGGAGCCCTGGCTCTATGTGTTCTCCTGTGCCTGCTTTTATGACCTGGGCAAGTCATGGCTCTGTTCCCAAGTACAGAATACTCTCAGCTTCCTGCCCAGTTCCACCCAACCTCAGTTCCTTGAGGATGTTGACCATTTGGAGAGCAGTCCTGTGCTAAACCATTGGCTCTAGGACACCCTCACCGCAAGAGCCTCTTGGGACTGAGATCTCCCATCTAAAGTGGGAGTAGAGAAGAATTTGGATGTGATCTGTGGCCCTGGTGCCAAGGAACAGAGACAGCGTGAGATACTTGGCATGCTCCGATCGCGCTGCTCAGAGTGCTGTTGGCAGACTGCAGTTTGGCCAAGGTTTGTTAGATCTGCAGAGTCTACTGCTGGCCCCTGCTGCCTGAACCAGACCAGGCGTCTTTCGAGTCTGCAGCTTAAAGTTGGACGGGGATTCATGCCCGGTAGCCAGAGGGTCCTTTGAGGTCACTTGTGACTCCAGTTGTGAAAAGTATAGACAGATGGCAGGTCAGCTGGGCATCATTGAGACCTTCACTTACCCAGATGTAAAATGGGGCTGTGTGAAAGACCAGGGAACACCCCTTTTAGTTAATACACAGACTTGCTGTAAGTGTAAATGGTCCTATGGGACGATGCCAGCATCCAGTTCTGGGTTCCCTCTGAACCGCCTTTCTTCTTTCTCAGGGAGCGCTTGAAGCGCAGTCAAAAGAGCACCAAGGTGGAGGGCCCGGAGCCAGTGCTGGCTGAGGCTTCTCTGAGTGCTGAGCAGGGGACCATGACAGAGGTGAAGGTGAAAACAGAACTACCAGACGACTACATACAGGAGGTCATCTGGCAGGGCGAGGCCAAGGAGGAGAAGAAGGCAGTTGGCAAGGATGGGACTGGTGACGTGCCTGCCGAGATCTGCGTGGTGATCGGTGGTGTCCGCAACCAGCAGACCCTGGGTGAGTACCTGAGTGAGGACTGGGACCAGGGTGGAAGTGTGTGGCCAGAAAGGCTGGCATGTCTGAGTGAGAACCTTCTGTGGCTTGGTCTGCCCCAGGGAGAAAGGATTGCTCCTGAGAGTTGCCTTTCCTGGTGAGTTCTAGCCTGGAGGGTTCACTTTCTGCCTGGTGTGACAAGAGCCTTTGCTTCTCTCAAGCTCTTGTTGAAGTCAGATATTTGGAATGTCTGCCGTCCCAGTGAATCCGTCACGCCTTGAGGTCCCCAAGCTCCCATTGGGGAACCAGCACAAGTCCTTACTGCTTGCTTGGTATCTCAAATGGATGTCATATGTGCCTTGTCCCTGACTTGTCCCCATTGGGGACATTTGGGGAAGTTTCAAGTGTAGGTCCTGGCCAACTTTTGATCAGTGACAGATATGTGCCTTCCTGTACCTGCTCTGAGGCAGGGATTCCCCCCTTAAGCCTTCCAGGGGACTCCCACTAGTGCCAGCTTCAAGGACTCAGATGGCCACAAGGCACTGATAGATTGACAGCATTTGTCGGGGGAGCCTGCAGGACAGGAGGTAGGGACTATGTCCAGGTGCCCTACAGCACAGTGCTTGGCAGCCTCGAGAGTCACCTCAAGTGCTTCAAGTGGCTTAGCACTGCCAGCTGTCTGCACAGATCCTGTGCCCAATATGTGAACATCTTGGTGTGGTTTCCTTTGGCTTTCAACACTGGCTCTCACATTGGCTTGTGAAATCTTCCAAATAAAACATATCGGTGGCTCAGCATTGTTCCATAAGCCAGCTTTGAACACAGCTTTGCTCCAGAGGTCGTCCCTAGTCTGGCCCCACAAGCCCATCCTCATCTTCCTTGAAGGTTACTATGCCCAGAGTGTTCCTGGGCATGCTGTTCTCTTCTGAATGGTCATCTACCCTTTATGGTCTGAGTCTGGCCTGCCCCTGCTGACTAATAAGCCCATCTGTCTTTGTGGCCCACAGAGCCTCATGGGAAGGTGCCCTTTGTTTCCAAGGTTCACCTTCAAGCCCTGATGCCTCTTCTCCTTAGCTGCTGGCCTCGGCCTCCTGCTCCCTTCCAAGCTCTTATTCAGTGGCCAACCTGGGTCATCACAACATCCCACGACAGCCATACTTTTGTGTCTCTCTGACTGACATACCCTATTCAGCTGGCTGCAAGGAAGCCATAGCAAATACATTCTCCATTCTTAAGGATTTCTTAACAATGTAAGAAATCTTTCTGATTCCGTATGTAATTCAGATGGAAAAGCTCTGGCAGGCAGCCCCGTGGTGGATCTGTTTGGAGTCGGTATTCAGGGACCTGAATTTTGATATAGCTTTGAGATATGCATCTTGTGCCTGTTCCCTGCTGAGTTTGGGATTCCCTAGAGGCTGGATCCCTGGGACCCTCCTGATTTCTGCCCCACTCCTATGCTGCAGTGCTAGCAAGGTGCTGGCTTGTGGGAAGCTATGTTGCTTGTGGTACTATGACTGTCAGGATGTGTCTAGGTGACACTGCAGTAATAAAAGGTCGCAAAAATAGTAGGTCTTGGTAACTCAGAACCATAAAAATGTGTTGTTGTTTTTTTTCTTGACACCATCCAGTGTGGCTCACTCAACGGGCTCTACTGGTCTCTAGACTCTAGCACAAGGTAGCCATTTTCACAGATGGCCAGATGGCACAGGAAAGCAAGCCCTAGACAGACTCAACTAGGCCCCTGACTGCTAGAGCCAAAAGGAAGAGGCATAGCTTCCATCTACAGCTGTCAGAGCAAACTATTCACATGGCCCCACCTCATCTGAGGAGGCTAGGAAATAGCCACATCCCACAGGCAGCATGAAAGACAGTTGAACATGGGAAGATGTTTGGTGGGGATCCTTGATTGACCTCTGCCCCTCAACATTCACCCCACAAAGCCAAGGCCCAAGCTTCCTCCATGATCTATGAATGGAGAAGAGGGTATGCCCGTATTACTGGTGAAGGTATGTCAACACTCTTTAAGCCCAGCAGCCATCTGTCCAGGAAGGGTAGCTAGCTGAGTGCACATCTGGTCGGGAAGGCCTCTAGCAGGCAGGCCAGAGAAATATGGAGGGCCTTCCCTGAGCCAGCAGCCCATACAGTGGTGGCCCTGGGCCCTCAGGCATCCTGCCAGCCAGAGGTGCTCATTTCCCACTCAGCTGCTGCTCAACAGCCAGGTCTTACTATCCCTTCGTGTCCTCATTTGTTAAATGAGGACCCACCCTGGCCACCTTATGGATGTGGTAATCAAATGGTAGGGGACAGAACGGTGTTGACCGAGGAGCTCGTCTCTGTGGTGCTGGTGATGGAGAGCACATCTAGGGTCTCTGACTCATAGTGTGAGGCCTCTGTGTGCCACGGTGCTCACCATACACTTTCGTGTGTCTTGTGAAGGTAGGAGATGTGCTAAGTGCTTGGTGCTGTGCCCAGTGACGGGCATGCGGTGGTACCACCAAGCTTGCAGTGGTACAGTCTGAATGTTGACAATGTGAAGAACCTCTTTAGTACCTGTTCTTCTCCCTAGTCTAAGAAATAAGCCAGTGTGACGTGGACTGGGGGTGGGGATGAGAAAGAAAGGTAGCATCAGGTGAGTTTCTGTTCCCTTCTAGGTTGGCCTCTTAGAACCCAAGTCTTGAGTATCTTGGGTAATTTCCCAATAACCTGCCCTAAGGTTACCCCAAGGAAAACCACCCTTTGGAAAGCTCTGCCACATAGGACCATGTGGCTCCTCTCCTGTCCCCAAGGCAGGTCCTCCTTGTTGTGCGGTTTATACAGAGGGTCAGACTCAGAGGAAGCTGTCCTGACCTTGTCAATAACCGAGGAAGCCATGGAAAGAACCCGGGGACTGTGTGTGGAAGAGAAACACACTTAGGGAGCTCAGTGTTGAGAATCTTGAAGAATGACTAGCTGACTGTTAAAGACTGCGCTGGGCATAGGTGTGGACAGTGGGGCTACCATGCTATCACTTGCCCTGACCCCTCATTTTACAGGGAGGCAGATCTTATGGAAAGGAGGAGAAGTCTCAGCCACACAGCACACTGGTGGCTTATTACTCCTGTTTCAAAGAGCCCACCTCCTGATAGCATCTGCCTTACCCCTGCTTTTGAGCATAAGTGAAGGGCAGCAGGAAGTGCTGGTCTGTGTGCCTTTCTGCCGTGGGATCTGAGTGTGCTGAGTTCATGTTCCTGAGACACTTGCACTGAGCATGCGCTTTGCTCATCTGGCACACTCTGGGCTCTGTTACTGAATAGAATAATGCCCCTGTTCAGTCACACAGCTCTGGGCAATGGGAGCCTCCCCAAGTGGACCTAAGCCATCATAGTTTTTCCAGTGACACAAACATTATCCAAGGCATCTGCCTTGGTGGAAGCAGGGTTGTAGCCACATGGATGACATTGGCCGGGAGAGCCCTGCTGTAGGTGCTGCTAGAAGGTTGGCTGCTGCCTGGAGAGGACTTGTGCTGAGAAGGCCATGTCTTACTCTTAGCATGTCAGCACAGTTATAGCTGGCATGGGACTTATGGATCAGACCCAAGGTTCATTTTTTTTTTTTTTTTTTTTTTTTTAGCAAGAACAGAGATGATACTGATACAGTGTTGTTAGACAAAGCCAGAAGTGAATGGATGAATTATCAGATGCCTTGCCCATCTGACAAGCTGTAGGCATAGCTCTGCTCTATAGCCTGGGGTGGGGCTGGAACACATGAGGTTTTAGGTCCTTTATGAAGAGTGATGTGTGCAGACACACACACATGGAGGCACAACTGTTGGCACTCCCGATTCCAGGTTTGTGGTAGGCATCGTTAACTGACCCCTCACACTGTTCTAGCAGCGTTCCTCAGAATCGTCAACACAGCACACTGCCAGTCAACTGGAATCAGAACATTGGAAGTGGGAACCTGTTTGCTATCATTGTGCTAGATGGAGATAAGGAAGGCCAGCTGGGCTTACCACATTCAGGACGTCATTGTGGACCATTTTCTGGTCCCAGGAGATGAAACTGGCAGCTACTTATCCTGGTTTTCAAAAATGTACTATCGAGCAAGGGGTGTTTTATGTTCATGGAGAAAGAGTGAGAAAACAGTCGTTCCCCCACTGGACTCTGCTTCTTGTGAGTACTAAACCCATCAGGTCATTTCCAGGTGTTAATGCAGTGTAGGGAGGGACACATGGGCAAGCCAAGAACTGTGTTTCCTGGAGAAGCAACAGAGCCTGTAGGGAACAGGGAATGGGTGATGGAGGCTAGATACCCACCTATGCGTTTTGGGGGCACTAAACATACCCATTCCTGGAGGCACAACTTGTGTGAAGTGGCCACCAGGACACCGTTCCTGACAGGAATTGTCTATAACCAAACATAACCTGTGAGGCAATGAGTTTCAGGTCCTGGAGGTGGGCAAACAGAGAGGAGGGATGGCAACCAGCCAAGCTACAAGAGGGGAATCCAGGGTCAGATGGAAACAGATTCTGCAAGAAGGTGTCCTGGGTGTGAATAGCATTGCATGCTCAAAACCATCCTGGGAGGGGGAGTAGAGGAGGAACAGGGAGCCCCAGTCAGTAGGAAGCCTGTGGCTGTGGCTCTGGATGGACTGATGAGTTCTATAGCTCCTCAGACGCAGCTATGTAAGCTTCGGTCCTTGACAAATCCGGGAGGCAACGGTGCCAGGTCCTACTTGATAGTGCCAGCTGATACTGGGTTTCCTATTTCAATAGGCTGTTGGCAGGGTTTGGTGCCTGAGCCTGCCAGAACCAACACTTAGGTTTTTTACTCTAGGCACGAGGGAAGGAGGAGTCCTGGCTGCTCTGCAGGCCCAGTTTTCTCTGCTGTTGACACTCCATCTGGGGTAAACTGGCTGGGATCTGGCTGGAGGATCCCCGTTGGAAAGGGATCTTGGCTATATGGTAGGAGACCTGGGATCTACCCCACTGTGTCTGGAATACTCAGTGGTGTAAGTCTGCAGGAATGTTAGGGCAGGAAGGAAGCAATAGTTGTCAGAATATCTTGAAAGGTGGACTAAAACACAAGCTGGGTTCTGACATCAGCTCAGCTGATGAATTAAAACTTCCCAGATGACTGCAGTGACAAGAGGAACCCCATAGGCCACTGCATTAAACACCCTTAGTTTAAGCCTACTAAAATAATGTCTTTCATTGTTCACCAGCAGTAAAGGCTGTAATTCCTAGAGTGTTGTATTGTTTTTTAAAGGTGGCGTTTCGGAATAATCACAATGCCACTGCTGTTTGGGGTCCGCCATCACCACTTTATAAAACATGCAAACAAGCTCATCTTCAGCAGACAGAAATTTTATGTCTTCCTTTTTTTTCTCCTTGAACTCCTGTTTCTAGTCTACCTCGCCCACAGGGTTTTACCCTAATGTAATACACTTCTGTGCTTGGAAGTGTTTTATTGATCACTGTTTCACAGTCTTCTGCCACAACAAGAGGTACATAAATTGAAATGGAAATTTCCTGGGTCATAAAGCTCTACATTTTAAAACCTTTTAATTTTTCCTCCAGATTGAGTTCTGATTAGCATGTGGTTTGTCAAGAACAAATTTAGATAAATAGTAAGTGTAAAAATTTAAAAAAAATAATCAAAAACACACTTCTCGATGAAACAGATATGGCTTTATTTCTTTCTCAGTTGGCTCATGCATCTGTGAATTAATATTTTTACTACTAGAATGAGACAGGACTTGGCCTTTGTTTCATGCTGATTTTTGGTGTTTGTAGGGAAAGTGCTTGGAGGGCTGGAGCATGTGAGCAGGGAGCTGGAGACCCTGGGATTTGCTTCATGGTGTCACTTGAGTCTTTGAACTTCTTCCAAGACATATGCCAAAAACCACATGACGGTCCATCTTTAGACAATGTCTTTAATGTCTCTTCATTTACAGCTCTGTTAGACTGTGTGTGTGTGTGTGTGTGTGTGTGTGTGTGTGTGTCTGTGTAGAGGCCACAGGACAACCTCAGGTACTCAGGGATCATCCTCACGTACCAGCTTCCCCCCTTTGGATTCAAGCAGGGTCTCTTGTTGCCCCAGAACTCACCAAGTATGATATTCTGGCTGGGCAGCCAGCACCAAGGATAGATCTGTCCTCACCTGTCCTGTCCTGTGGACAGCATTAGGACTCTAAGTGTGCACCACATGACCAATGTCTTTACACGGTTTCTGGGGATCAAATTCAGCTCTTCCTGCTTGCAAGGCTGGTGCTATTCCAGCTGAGTTGGCTCCCCAGCCCTATTTATTAGTTTTGAGACTCTGTAGCTCAGTCTGGCCTAAAACTCACCGTGTAGTGTAGCAGGCTAACCTTGGACCTGCCATCTTTCCACCTCAGCCTCCTGAGCTTGGGGATTATAGGCGTGTGCCACCTCACGCAGCTGCCAGCATAAGTTAGCAAGGGAGGAGGTTGCCACATGACCCTACCTATTCCTACTGTGTGAACCAGGGACACTGAGGCCCTGATAGCCCGTGTGCCTGGCCATCCCCTTCTCTAGCTGGCCTTGGCCCTAAAGCTAAATCATAAGGCATTCTCCAACATTAAGGGCTCTTTCTGATTTCTTACGTAATTCAGATGGAAAAGCTCCGGAAGGCAGCCCCCACGGCGGATCTGTTCGCAGTCGGTATTCAGGGACCTGGAGTTTTGACCAAGCTTTGAGATATGAATCTGGTAGGTGATGGCTGAGGGACATGGCCTGATCCAGGTCAGCATGGAGGGTGGGCACAGCTGGCCATGGATGCCAGTTGTATACTCTGCTAGTATCTCAGGCCCTTACCCGTACCCAGGTAGCCCTTGTGAGCAGATTTGAGTCTTCCCTTAGGGATGACAGGCATCTGGACATCTGCTGGTCTAGACTCTCAGGATGAGTTCAGCAAGGCTTCCTATGGATGACATACAGCCATGGGAAAGGGCAGGTCCCATAGCAACCTATGTTTGGGACCTTCATCCTCCCCTGCAGGACCCGTAGCATCTTGGTGCCTTGTGTCTCACCAGCACAGGGCCATGTGTTCAGCATTTCATCTGTCACTGTTGGCCATGACCCTCCTTCTCCTGTGAGTGTGGAAACTTAGTTCCGAAGAAAGCATTTTTGAAGTGCTGGTGGTCACCACAGCTACTTATTGAGTGCCTGCTGAATACCAGGCCTTATCCTGAGGACTCATGGTGACACCACTCCTCACCCTCATGGGCATTGTTCCCCAGAGAGGAATCCTGGAACTTCCTGGGAGTTTTCCTGATTTGTTGTCAGTGAGTTGCACCCAGTTTTGTTGCCCTTACTGCTCAGTGAGGCCTCTACTCTGGTGAGCTTCCCATTTCTCTGCCCATTTAATACCTTCCACACACAGGGACCAAGGGTGATTGGAGGGTGAATTTGGGAATCCCTTTTGCCAGCATATGGTGTTCATCCTCACTATGTCGGGGTTGGGGAGGTGGTCAGAGGCCTCACACAAGGCAGCTCACACCTTCAGCTCTCCATAAGTAGAAGACATGGATTGCCTTAAATGAATTGCCTCTCATACATTATAAACAGGGCTGACTCTATAGACTTCACTCCTCACTACAACTAGCCCGGGACCCTACCTCGAGCCTTCAGGTCCTATTCCGGCTGTCACAACACCACCACGAAGTTATCCCCATCCCCGTTGCCCCATCTGCCCCTCATTAGATGGAGGGCAGGGATCACATCTCTCTCACTGCTGAGCCTCGATGCCTGGCCATTGCAAATGTTCAATAAATCTTTGGTTGGTGGAAAGAAGCTGGCAGAAACTGTTAGAGTAGGCGGAGGCGTTCAGAAGAAAGTCAGGAAGTTATCACTTAGTGATTGATGACTATAATAGCAAGCCACCATGGAATACCCCAGCCACAGGGCTGAAAGCGGAGAGATATACATGCTCTAGCCACTGCTGGTTTGTGTCTTCCCCAGCGTGGCAGAGCGATGTATGCACAAACCCCTAAAAGGCAACGTGCTGAGTGCTGCGTGGCATGAGGATGGCAGTGGCCCTGGAGTGACTCTGAGTAACACAGGCACTGGCCGCTGGCCCCTAGTACTTCCTCCGTGCCAGTGGCTCATGTGCTCTGTCCGTGCCTTGCTATCTCTGTGAGAGCTGGGAGCCCCAGTCCTGTAGCCCGGTGAGGAATTCAAGACTCAGACAATTAAGGTGAGTCCAGGTGCAGGAGCGGGATGAGCATACAGACTCTTCAAGGCTGCCCAACAGTAGAGTCTCTGCTTCTAGGCATAGAACAAAAGTGACAGCGCTAACTCTCACTCCCCGTGTGCCTGTAAGGGATGTGGTCCTCCTGTACTTAGTCTTCTCGTTGGCCCCTTGCCTTCTACAGAGAAGAAACTTTGTGAATGGCAAAGCCGAGCACCTCCTCGGGGCCTGCACTAAGGAAGTGATACTCCCCACCTTGCCTGGCGGGTGTCGGATGTTCCCTGAAACAGTGCATGCCCAGGCTCCCAGACCCAGCAGCTCGTGTATGACCATCCTGGGACCAAGACTTGCACATGCTTCCTGGCCTTTCTGTTGGAGAAGGTGGGAGCTGGGGCCAGGTAGCCTCAAGCCTGCAGGAGGGCTCCGCCCAATGGAGACGGGCAGGCTCCCTGCTAGGTTAGGTCCTGTTGGCTGGGTTCAGCCTTTTCGCCATGGACCTTGTCCCAGGCCCTATATGGTAGGTCATTTTTGGGTCCCCTTGAAGGTCAGATGTTTTACTTCTCTGCACTGGGAAAAGGTTCCAAGGGCAAAAGTCAGTTTTTTTTGTGTGTGTGTGTGTGTGTGTGTGTGTGTGTGTACATGTGTGCATGCATACACATGCTGAGGGGCTGTTCTCTGTGTCTGAGAACACTGTGGTACCTTAGCAGGTGTGGACTGCTGTTCTTGTAAACTTGTCTATAGTGGGACTGGACAATTGCTAGAGTGAAGAACTGTCCGGAGGGAGGTGAGCAGACCAGAGCCTGTAGTGTCTGGAGAAGTTACTAGGGTCAGGCCGCTGGCAGGTGCAGAATGGGGGCTGGAACCCCTGTGGCCTGACTTGAAGCCTGTGGTCTTCGTCTCTGACCCATGCTGGAAGCAGGTCATCCTGAAATTAAGGAGTGACATGGTTATGATGCTGTGGCTCATCGCAGAAAACGCTGGGTTCCTCTCCTTCTTTTCCGTCAGTGTGTAAGTGCAGGTCGTAGTCATGGCTGTCCCCTTTATCCTACAGACATGGTTGCAGGTGGATGCAAAGCCCAGACTTCATGAACCCCAGCTCTGCTGTCTCTGCTGGTCCTCGGTGCCCTTTTGTCTACCAAGGCAGCATCCCTGCCCAGTGACACTTGTAGGTCCTGGGCCTGGTGGTGGCAAGGTGGCTGATGGGCCCTTTCCCCTGCTGTTTTTTTAGGATCCTATGAATGCGGGATCTGTGGCAAGAAGTACAAGTACTACAACTGCTTCCAGACCCATGTGCGGGCTCACCGAGGTGAGTGGCACCCAGCTGTCCTGTGCTCTGCCTGCTAACCCCAGAGGCCCTGAGAGTTTATCCTACTTCAGCCATAGGAGGGGTGGCCATGAAAAGCGAGAAGCCTTCTTGATGTGGGAAGAATGATGGGGTGGGGGAGGGCAGATGTCAGGCCCCTGGTTTTGGCCTTGAGGACTTTAGGGATGCTCAGCCTTGCTCTGTTATCACCTGCCCCTCCCCCAAGAGGCCATGAGCTTATAACATCTCATGTTCTTCTTGACAACACAAGAGAGGGGCCAGCAGCTCTTTCCCATTCTGAAGTTCAGGGGAGAAACGGACTGGCACTTGCTTCTCCTGAGCCAGGAGGCCGGCCCTCCTGGTGTTGAGCCTCAGGGCAGAAATGGGCCTCTGTCCCTCATGTCCCTCATAGCATCCGTGGCTGCACAGCCCTTTGGGACTCCTCTCAGCTGCTCCACTCAGTCTCTTCCTTGGCACAGCCCTGTCCCTGTCATCATCCTTGCCAGTTGGCTACCTCCTTCCTCTCTCTCTTCTTTTTCTCTCACAGATACCGAAGCCACCTCAGGGGAGGGAGCCTCCCAGAGCAGTGAGTACTTTTCCACCTCCTGGGCTGGTGGGGATCAAGCAGTGGGCATGGAAAGCAGCTGTTCCTTCCTCCCCAGGACAGCCTTTGAGAAACACATTGCTGGAGCCCAGGCTTTGGGACCAGAGGGGCCCTATGAAATCAGAACAGGCCTCCTCAAAGTGAGTTCCATAGGATGCACATTCCGAAGAGGAGGATCTCAGAAAAGGGTTCTCTGTCCACGTTTGGGAAACCTTGAGCTGTGCCCACGTGAGCATAGGTGACCTCTTTGCTCTGGGTGTCCTGAGCCACCATGAACATCTCTAGGAAGAACCTTCCTGGACCCTGGCTTATGGGCCTTGGGTTCTATAGTCTGTGCTGAAGTACAGTTCTCTCAGAGGACTCTTAGCCTTGGGCACAGTTGCTCCTTGCTGCTTTGTCCTAGGGTTCCAGATGTTGGGCCCCTGTGACGGATGCTTACAGGTCCTCCTTACCCTCTCTCCAACTCTAACCCCATGGGATGGTAAACAGACAGCTCCTGGGGTACGCTCTGAGGTGACACCTCTACCCTCCCATAGCCTCCAGCCCCTGCCTCCCGCCCTGTGCACAGCCAGAGCTTTAGGAGTTCTACCCTCAGCGACTGTCCCACATGGGCGTATGTCTAGTCCATCAGAAGACTCAAACGAGAATGTTCTTGGAGCATTGTCCCTGACAAGTCTGAAGCAGAAGCTACCCAGATGCCCAGCGTTAGGGGTGGCTGAGCAAATGCTGTCCGTCGTGGACTGCATGCAGGAGTGAGGGTGGATGCGGTCTAGGTGCCCGCGGTGTGTGCACAGTGAAGCCAGTACAGAGGGGCTCATCTGCTGAGTCTGTCAGAAAGCACAGGCTTTGGGGGACAGGAGTGCTAATGGAAGTCAGAAGGCTGGGCACCCCTGAAAGGTATGCCACCTTCCTTTTCTTCAGCCAAGGGTCCAGTTCCACAGTGCTTCTGTGGGTGGAAAGAGATCAGGATGCTTGCTTAAGACCTAAACACTTGGTTCTGTGTGGGCCAAGAAGTGTTTTCTGTAGAGGACTGAATGGTGAGAAGGTTATACTTCAGAGGTATGGCATCTCCATCCTCAGCCGCTCACTCGAGTGGAAACTTCAAGAAGACATGAGGCTAGAGTCCTACAGTAAAGGCAGTGGCAAACCTGGCCCAGGGAACCAATATGTCACCCTGTTCATTGTGTTTGTTACACCATTATAACATGCTTAAGGGTAATAAATGTTACCTAAAACAAAGTAGGTTAGGGTATAAGCTAGCTTGAGCTGAAGCCCTACCTGAGGCAAGACCCTGAGAACATTGTTCTCGAGTCACCCACTCTAGAGAGGTAAGCAAAGCTGATATGGCTCCTCTGTGTTTAGCTTGGCTAGACACCTGACAGACTATGGCTGGAGGCATGGCAGCTGTCTCTCCCTGCCCCGCCCCGTCCCTGGCTGCTTCAGTAGCTCCGCCCTTCTTTTCTGGCCCCTGCGGTCTGCCTGTGGCCAACCACACATTTAAAGACCTTCTTTGTTTATCCTTCCTTCCTTGGCTATTCTGGGTCCCTGGCCTCCCTGGAAGCCTGTCAGTGGACTGTGTGCTGTGTTTGCTCTCCACTGTATGGGCTCCCTGGTGTTGGTGCTGTGGTAGGAGTATTTTTAGACCTTTCCTCATTTTTTCTTTCCTTCTGTATGGGCCACTTTTTCTCATGGCTGGAGTGCCATCTTCTCTGTCCCAACCTAGGTCAGTAGCAGCAGTGCTTTGTGTCTAGTGAGCTTCTGAGCTGGCCTTGGCACAGGCTGTAGGGCACTGGAACTGAAAGGCTCCAATGGAGAATATCAACCCCAGCCTGCTGCTCTGCACATGAAGACCCCGAGTCCCAGGAAGTGGAAGTTGTGAGGCTTGTTAGCAGCAGAGGCTGGCCTGGTTAACAGGTCCTTATACTTAGTCCAAGGACCTGCCATGCATTTAGCAGGGAGATGGCCCACTCATACACAGACATAGAGACATATCCATCCAATCACACTTCCTTCAGGATGAGAGGATCAAAAAAAGACCAGCCCCCTGCCAAAAACTCCTCTAGTTCCCAGTTCATCTCCTAAGTCTTATTTGAAAAATCCTGCCAGGTGACATTTACCCTATTAGTCAGGTGGTAGCCATTGTGTTCTGTCTGATTTAGGGTTACTATTTGCTGTGATGAAACACTATGACCAAAGGCAACCTGGGGAGAAAAGAGGCTTATTTGGCCAACATTTGTACATTACTGACCATCAAGTCAGGACAGGAACTCAAAACAGACAGAAACCTGGAGGCAGGAGCTGCCGCAAAGGCCATGGAGGGGTACTACTCACTGGCTTGCTCCCCGTAGCTTGCTCAGCTGCTTTCTTACAGAAACCAGAACCACCAGCTCAATGCCACTCTCAGTGGGCTGGGTCCTCTGCCATCAATCACTAATTAAGAAAATGCCCTACAGCTGGATCTGGTTCCTTTCATTACAAGGAGCTGTTGTTATTCCCATGTCACAGAGGCATTTGGGAATGTGTCCAAAGTCACTCGTACTTTTGTCAATGGTAGAGTCTGGTTTGGGCTTACCTGTCTCATCCCAGAATCTGCCTCCTCTAACAGGTTCATGGTGGCATTCCTGAGATGCCAAGCTCTCTTGTGAAAACATGTTCCACTGGCAGACTACTTTGGGAATAACTCTCTTCCTCTTCAACTCCTCCATTAAAATTCTGGAATATGAGGAGACAGTGTAGATTCATCAGGGTGGATGGGGGTAGGTTTCAGTGTTAGGAAGCTGAGGGGGGTGTCTGGTTTTTCGGAGCTGGTAAATGCAGCCTGTCGGGAGAGGAACAGACCCACTGACAGGAGAGGCCATGAGAAGAGATAGAAGCAAGCAGAGTGAGCAGCTTCAGAAGGCAGGCAGCTCTGGGCAGTCTGAGCGAGGAATGGCAGGACGAAACCTCATCTGGAGTTAGCCTTCAGGTAGCTTTCCCTGTTGGCATCCAGAGAAGAAGATGGAATTGTGGTAGAAGCTGAGGCTTTTGGACAGAATGGGAGGAAAGGTTTTTATCTGAGCTGTCTTGCATGCCATGGGGAAAGAGGTGATGCTGAACTAGAGTCACCTGATCAGTACCCCCCACTTAAAAAAGTAATATGGAAAACAAAGGGGTCAGAAACCATACCTTTCATCTCATACACCCTCAGCTCTCCGTTGGAGGATACTGGTACTCAGACCCTGTGAATATCTACAAACGCCTAAGCTATGGCTCCTCAGGTAGCAACAGTTCATCTCTGTAGTCTTTTTTTTTTTTAAGATTTATGTATTATTTATACAGGTTTCTGCCTGCATATGTGCCAGCAGGCCTGAATACGGCACCAGATCTCACTATAGATGGTCCTGAGCCACCATGTGGTTTCTGAGAATTGAACTCAGGATCTCTGGAAGAGCAGCCAGTGCTCTAACCTCTGAGCCATCTCTCCAGCCCTATGTCTGTAGTCTTGACAGCTGCTAAGATACCTTGAAAGGCCATCATTCCAGGGATGATGGGTAGGGGAAAGGTAGCTAATGTCCTTTGTGTCCCTGAGTTCAGCTGAGAGAAGAGACAGAAAACTTCCCACCCCATTTCAGGGTGGTGCAGCCTTGGCACAGAGTATGCTGAGGGACAGGAAATGGGTCCAGAGCAAAGCACCCCTGCATGGTTTATCTCCACAGAGAGAAAGGATGTGTGCCCTGACTCAGCTTTAGCTTGAACTTAAGTGAATATTTGGTCCCCAGCTCTCTCTTCTTCCCTCTGTATGCCTTGAGCAAGCTGCTGTAGCTCTGCATGCTGCCTCGGGACCCTAGGGATACAGGCTTGATGGGCCCTCCATAGGTCAATAAGAATACACACACTGGGTATGAGCCAGTTCAAATACAAGAGACTGTACCCTGGAGGGAAAGGTATAGGTCTGGTTCTGCTAGCTTCGCTGTGGGAGGCCTAGAGAACAGCAAACTTGGGACAGTGTTAGCTGACTTACTGTGCAGCACAAGTCTATAAAACTTAATGACTCAAAGCAGCCAAGTCTGATTTTCTCCCAGATTCTATGGTTGGGAATTTGAGTGTGGCTTTTCAGGGTCCTCTGGCTCGGAGACTCCCACAGTACTACAGGTAGGTTTGGCCAGAGCTGTGGTCTCTTCCCAGGGCTCATCTGGCAGGGGTTTCTTCTCGGTTTGCTTGAATGAGGAGTTGGGGGTTGCAGGACTCTCTCAAATTGTTGGTCTGAGGGCCTCAGTTCCCAGTAGCCACTCACAGATGGCCAAACTCAACTTCTTGATGCCTGCCTCTATGTCTCCATGAGAACATAGCAGCCAACCATAGCGTGAGCAGGGGCAGGTAGCATGTGCAAGGCCAGCATCCTGGCTGCCTATCACCTAACTTCCAGAGTGACATTCCCATCACTTTGACCCCATTCTCCTAATTAGAAGCACCTCAAGAGAAGGAGTTACACAGGATGTCAACACGAGCTACAGGGGTTATCAGCATATCTTGAAGAGTCCACCTTACTGTAGGATTTGGGACAGATTTCTTCTGTTTAGTTTGCTCATACGTTAATGGGAGACTGCTTCTTCCCTCTGTTGAAAAGACTGTTTAACCCAAGGAAAGGGCTTGGCTCAGCTGACTCGCTCACAGTTGCAGCTGTCCTTCACCATGAGAGCTGAAGAAATCATACTCTTCTGTGACTGGGGATGAAACTCATCAGAACCAGGTTCTGGAGACCTCAGCTCTCATGGGGAAGGTTTGAGGGTTGGTTTGAGAATCAGGGCTCCCAGTATCTTATGAGTCTGGATCTCCACAAAGGACACCTGCTGTCACAAACCAAGCCATGTAGTCCCAGATTGCAATCTAATGCTGCCCTGGAATGAAGTCTGAGGGAGGTTTGGAGGGGGACCCAGCTAAGCATGGAGGAGGTGCTGCTCAGAGGTCCAGGAAGTGAGTAGGACCACACCCTTCTCTTTTCAGAGGAGGCCAGACTGGCTTGGTTCCATCTTGACTCCAGGGTCTGGTGCACTGACCAGCAACCTCATGCCTGGTGACCAGTGTTCTGCTAAGCTCAGCGTCTTTCTGTTCCTCCCTCCAGACAATTTCAGGTACACGTGTGACATCTGTGGGAAGAAATACAAATACTACAGCTGCTTCCAGGAGCACCGAGATCTGCATGCTGTGGATGGTGAGTCAGGCCCCTCACTCTTGGGAGTCACACCAGAGAAATGTCCTTCCTTAAGAACACTCTCCCCACATAGTGCCAGAGCCCTGAGGAGAGGGACCTACCGTGCAGGATTCTGAGATAGGAACATCCCTTCATGCCCACATTCCCTTCTGTGGCTGATTCATATATAACTGATGGTTTTTTATAGGTCAAAATGGGTGTTGAAACTTCATGTCTGGTCATTTTACAATTTTGTGTTGAGTGTTTGTATTTTGTAGTGAAATTAAATCAATTTCTTAAAGTTAATAATGTCCTTTGAGCATCTTAGATTGTAGATGTGGATATTAAAACTTGATATATAAATTCAAGTCATTCATCTATAGAGTCTTAAGACTCCTATCGAAAGGGTTAAAGCCCAGGAAGGACTTGAGGTTCCCTATCTAGCCCTACACGTCAGCACTGAGTGGTGATATAACACCAGGGATGCTTCTGCCGCCTGCTTCCTGCCTCTACCCTCACCTCCCTTTTTCCTCTCATCCTCCTTTTCCTGCTCTTCCATCCCTGCTATGCCTGCTAAGGAGTTCTGAGCAGCAAGCGTCTAAGGGTGGGCCCCTGCCCCTAGTGAGGAGGAGGCGGAGCAGGCCGGGATGGGATGGGCCTCCCTGGGTTTTCTTAAGGGCCAGATCCAGCCTCCTGGTGTCCATGAAGACCCATGAAGCTGGTGTCCAGGCTGCCCCATGAAGCTGGCTGGCAGAGGTAGCAATGGCCAGGGACTAACTGGGCTCCTGTTCGCTTTTTTCCTCCTGTGGCTGTCGCCTCCCGTCTGGGTACAGTGTTCAGTGTGGAAGGGGCTCCCGAGAATCGGGCAGGTAAGTGTTTGTGGCCACCCAATTTCTCTGTGTCCAGCTGGGTTCCTATGTCTTGGGTGACCAGCATGCTAAGGCCATGTGTTCTCCCACAGACCCCTTTGACCAAGGTGTCGTGGCAACTGATGAGGTGAAGGAAGAGCCTCCAGAGCCTTTCCAGAAAATCGGACCAAGTATGCGGGACCCTGGGGCCAAGGGCTGGCTGGGCTGGGTGAGGAACGTGGGCTGAGCTACACTGCTGGGAAGGTTGTGGCCTGAACCTTGCAGCTGTGTGCACACCTGCCAGTTGGGCTGGGCAGTCTCAGGATATTAGCTTTCAAGGAGCTGCAGAAAGTATGTGGTCAAGGTCAGGGCAGTGAAAGTAGTCGGCTGGCAGCTGCATGTTAGCTTTTACTTCAGCCATTTATTTATGGTTTCCCCTTAGTCTGTTAGGTACCTGAAGTTCAGCCTCCCATAGCGGTGAGGGCAACACTCCCTACAGACTTGGTAGATGTTAATGAAATCACAGACTGCTTGTTAGAACAGTTCTGGAACATACCAGGTGCTCAGAGGGTGATGGCTGAGGTCATTCGAGGGACCTCTCAGTGAGTAGGGCAGCCATCTGCAGACAGAGACACTTATCTCATAAAGCCCCTAAGGACAAGAACCATGCTTGTAACTTGTATGTCTTTAGGTTGTACTCATGTGGATGACAGTTGTGGCCCTTCACTTGGGTAATTCCCGTGGAGATCGGGGTGTGGGACCAGAGACAAGTGAGTAGACAGTTAGAACCCAAAGCACCTAGGGATCTTCAGGGGTCAAAGAAGCTCAGAATGAAAGTTGAGAGGCTTGCAGGGCAGGTATAGGTGGGGATGGAACCCCACATCACATGCAGAGCTGGGGCTGGGGCTGGGGCTGGGGCTGGGGCTGGGGCTGGGGCTGGGGCTGGGGCTGGCTCTAGCAAGGGAAGGAGGCACAATGCTGGATTCATCTTAGAGGACTCTGAGTTCTAGGAGCCACTGTCTAGACTTGGTGTTTATGAGGCTGAGCCAGAGTTCAGGATGGAGAGGAACTCAGGAGAGGAACTCAGGTGGAGGAACTCAGAGTTCAGGATGGAGAGAAACACACGGCTGCCAGGAGGAGACTTCCATCCAGCCCTTCAAAAAGTTCCAGCTTGTTCCTTTCACCTGTTTCCTGTGCCTTGGTTACTATCCTGCAAGAAGAGGCATTTCTTTATTGATTTCAACTGTTTGTTACGACAAGGATCCAAGGCTGTTTATAAAAGCACACAGCAAAACAGACTGAGGCAATAAGGAAATCTGATGAGCTAAGGCAAAGGAGAGCGGTGTGCTGTGCAGAAGGAAGCTCTCCCTGGTCTTGGAAGGTTCCAGATGCCCTTGGGGCCTTTTCTTCCGCCCATCTCAACATGCTCAGGGGTAGTTTGTAGCTTTTTTCCTGATTCTTCTTGAACCATTCAGGAGCCTGCAGAGGACAGTGTCTGCAGAGGGGAGTGCTCAGTACCTGTCATATCCATAGTAAACTTTGGGTACGTGGGAGTGTGAAAGTCACTTTGTGGACTGAGAAAACAGTGAATCTCTAGCTCCTAAACTTAGGGTGAGGCTGTGTGGGAGAAGCATGGGTGGTTGCTTGCCCCTGCTCGGTGTGCTCTGACTAATCTGGAGCTGGGGGCAGGAACCATAGCGTATTCTCCACAGCTAGAGAGAGAGGCCTGGATTGGTAACGCAGTAAAGTGTTACAGTGCTGTGCACACTCCAGGACTGGCTGGTCCCATCCTGCTCAGAGTGTGGCCCCAGACCAGCAGGATCAACTCCTTGACATTTATCTGAAATGTGAATTTTTGACTCTAGCCCAAACCTGTCGTAATCTCTGGAGTAGAGCCCAGTGGTTGATCTGTGCTGTGAGACTTCCTTACATATGCTTAAAGTCTTAGAGAGGTCTGCAGAGAGGGCAGCTTAAAGGCTGCTCTCCCAGAGGACCTAAGTTTAGTTTCAGCAGTCTAGAGCACACACCTATAGCCCCAGCTCCAGGAGACCTGACGTCTTCTTCTGGCCTCCGTGGCCACACACTCACGGCATCCACACAGACATACGTAAATACAAATACATAGTTTTTCAGTTTAATAAGCACCAGGTTAAGCACCCTCAGCAGTCAAAGACTGTATTTCTACCCCACTGTTAACAATTAAAGAAATACATCTTATACGCTGTCTAAAATAATAAGGAATATTGAAAAATAATGGAACACAGGTGAAAATGGAAAAGCAAAGAGCTCATATCCTAAAAATCAGAGCCCAGGAAGCCAAACCAGAGAGTATAAAGCACGAAAAACAGAAGATAAGTACAGGTTGAGTCTTCTGTAGCTAAAATGCTTAAGACTAATAATTTTTAGATTTTTGCATATCAGAATCAAATATTCTAGGATGGAATCTGAGTCTAAATGCAGAATTTACCTCTTTCATATATGTGTGTGTAGATAACCTCTAAGTAACTTCATTAAATATTTGTAATGACATTATGTGTGACACAAAGATTCAGAGCTTGGAGTTTCCTACTTGTGGCATCTTTCTTGTTGGAGCATTTCGGGTTTGGAGACTAGGGATTTTCACCATGTAAAACCAAATCGATCATCACAATAAAAGCAGCCAGTATAATCTCCCCACTGAGAAAACAGAAGCTGTCAAGTTCATTTGAAATAATCCCAATCACTAATGGTTTACTATCATCACACCTACTTCTTTCCTTATCTTTTCTCTTTGCTTCAGTGTGTCTTTCTCGGGGACTTTCCCCTACTCCCTTAAAGAGATTAAAGGCCCTGTCATGGCTTTTTTTGTGGTGCTGTCTGTTTTCTTGAGTATACATACCAAGGGTGCAGTTTGAAAGTCGTGTGATGATTTAATCCTTCTGTCTTCCTTTCCACACAGCTCCTTGAGGACAGAGACATAACAGTTTCTGCTCAGCCTACTCTTTAGTGTCATCGCTGCTTAATGAATGAAAGTATAGGAACGTGTAGGAACATGTCATTAGATACATGGAAACAAGTAGAAATCGCGACCTGACACATCACTAGGAACTTAATAATATTAATGCCAGATGAACTAATAAAATGGTTTAATTAAATGTTCAAGCAATGCTTCTTAAACTTTCCCATGCATTAGAATGTTCTTATTAAAACATAAATTTATGGGCCACACCCATAGAGATTTTCTTTCAGCAGATCTTGGGCAAGTCCATAGATACTGGGTTTCTGTCAGGCTCCAGTGGTCCAGGAGCCACTTTGGAGCAGTGTGCAGGACAGGGTCTCATGTCACGTAGCCCAGGATGACTTAGATTTCCATATGTAGATGAGGATCACTTTGAATCTCTGATCCTCCTCTCTCTTTCTCCTTGTTGCTGGGATTGCAATCGTTTACCACCGTGTGCCGTTTTTGCAGAATGGGGGGGGGGGGCATAGGGCATCCTGCATGCTAGGCAAGTTGGACTTGCTCCATTCCTGGCCCTGCGGTAGAGATTTGAGCCACAAGCTTTCATGCACCAAGCAATAATGTACCTAAATAAAAAGGTAAATCCAGAAAAGCAATGCAATGGGAAGGTTTATCACAGGCTCTAGTCTTTGCTGGAACAAGTGGATAAGGTTATAAGATTGAAATGATATAATTAATACCATATTTATAATTAATCTTCTATTTATAGTAATATAATGAATAAAGTTGATCTAACAACCTTGACAGGAACTAAAATGCTTATCTTTTTAGTATTATGTGTCAGTTCCAAAAATTGTTTAACCACTCAAAACCCTAAAGCTTCTGTCTTGGGAGAGGAAAGCAAGAGGCCTAAGAAACCTCTAATATGTGTGACCAAATGTTGATATCAGGAATGTACAAATAATTTAGCAATTTTTAAAGGAAATTCACAAAAGAAAAACTATTGTTAATTATACAAGAAAAATAATCAATGTCCTCCGAAATCAAAGAAATGGAAAATAAAACCTGTAGTGTAATTGGGCCCTCCCTCCCAGGTCAATATACAGAATAGCCAGGTAGCGAGAGTACAGTGTGTGGATGATGGTGCTGTGGTTGCCGGCAGCCTCCCGAAGGCATGCCCCTTCCCCACCCCTACCCCTAGAATGTCCCCGGCAGGCTCCTGAGTGGGGAGCTTTCCTTTGCAATCCTGTGCCAAACTAATGAGCAGATGTGCAAAAGCCCCTGCAAGGGCGTGGATTACAGCTTTTTTTTTTATATATATATATATATATATATATATATATATATATATATATATATGGGAGCGGAGTGACTTGAAACAATATGAATGTTCCTTGGTGGAGGGCAACTGGCTCAGCAAATTCCCAAGTCCCATGGGAGCCATGCAGCCGATAAAGGCCGTCCTGGAGATCAATACTTATCGATTGGGCAAGATGTCCACAAAGTATTGTCGATTGAATACACCAGGTTACAAAGAGGATATTGATCAGGGCTAGCTAATTCAAGGCCATAGGAGCCAGACAAATGGTAGCAGCAGAAAAACGCCCTAGAGGAGGGTGAAGAGGGCCTGGGGCAGGGCGGGGCAGCTGGTGTTGCACTGGGGTATGATGTTCTCCTTGGTGTAGGGATCACAGAAGATAGCTCTTGCTCCTTTTAAAACCAGCGAGCTTGTGCTTATCAGTATTTTATAACTGTTCCCAAATGAACCATTTTCTATCAGACATCTTTAAAGGAGAATTTAGGCAGACCCTAGAGAGATATGAAGATAAAGTCTGGTGATGGGTTAGCTAGATGGTCCAGGGGTTAAAGTGCTTACCTCATTACATCATATGCCTGATACCTGGGCTTGATCCCTCAAACCTGAAAGGTGGAAGGAGAGAACCAACCCCATAAAGTCGTTCTCTGACCTCTACATGTACTCTGAGGCACACAAGCACCTGCACACACATCAGATGCGTGTACAGTTAAATAAATAAGTAAATATTTAAGCCTAATGAGGACCAAGAAGTGGTATCCCAACTCTGCTGGGTGGAGACACCCTGGAGATAAGGGACCATGGTTGTGACCCCTGCAGTGAGGAGGGCTTGCAGAAAGGCTGATGGAAAGGTTGACTTTGGGAGTCGGCTGGGTCTCCTGAGCTCCAGGGGTGGAGCTTTTGAGACCAGGAAGTGCCAGCACTGTTCTCAGTATTTCACTCTCAGAGCTAACCCTCACAGCAGTCCTCTAGGATGGCCCTCCTGTTATCTCTCTCATACAGGTAGGAAAGTGGAGGGACAAAGTGGTTAGGGCTGGAGAGTTGGCCTGGTTTATAAAGTGCTTGCATGCAACATGAGGACCTGAATTCAGATCCCCAGGACTCACGGGAAAAGCCAGGGGCAGCATCGTATGCCTGTAATCCTGGAGCTGGGAGAGTGGAGAAGGGTGGGTTCCTGGAGCACATTGGCTAGCCAGTCACCCCGAATCAGTGAGCTCCAGACTTAGCAAGAGGGCTTGTTTCAGAAGACAGAGCACACAGCTATGAAGGAGAACACCCAGAGTTGACCTCAGGCCTCCATGTGTGTGAGAAACCATGCACATACGTGTACATGCCACTGTCCCTGAACCCCCACCAGACACAGCATTCACTGTCAGAGGTTATAAGAGAGGCCACTCCAGGATTTGAAACTGTCGGTACAACTCCGCAGTCCAAGTTGAGTGTGGTTGGTGATCCCAGAATGAAGAGGATTTGGGGACTGGGAGATGAGATGCTGACGTCGTGGTGGGGCAGGTACCTGTTCTCATACCTCTCTCTCCCTCTGCAGAAACCGGAAATTACACCTGCGAGTTCTGTGGGAAGCAGTACAAGTACTATACCCCCTACCAGGAGCACGTGGCCTTACACGCCCCCATCAGTGAGTCTCTTCTCCAGTTGGGGGATGGGGAGACCTTGGGAGGGGCAGCGGTTAGCCACTGGCCAGGACTCTGGAGCCTTGCCAGAGAAGGTGCCAGCCAGCAAGGTGAGCTTGGGTCTTGGCTATCAGGTGTCTGGATCATGAGGTAGGCTGTGAGGTAGAATGACCTAGAAAACCTACTAACCCTCTCACAGCTCAGGGGACTGGCTTTCATAGATTGGGCATCAGGAAAGTGGCTGTGATTTGTCCAAGAACTGCAGCAGGCCCTGTCTCCACTTTCTCCAAATACCTGCACATTGTGAACGTTCTGACACTGCACACCACCGTAGTATCTATCCTGGGATGTAGCTTTCCTCCTAGTTGGCCAAAGCCCAACCTGTGTGGTGGGAGGATGCCTGGGGAAAACAGCCCTTATGCTGGTGGTAGAAAGCTAAGGAGGCAGAAGGTAGACTGAGGTGAGAGACGGAAGGCCTGAAATCGAGGCCCCAGGGTCACAGGCTCACTGGAGACCATGACCCACCATCCCTGACTCCTCTCCTGACAAGACTAAGAAGGCCCTCCTTGGGCCCTCTATCGTACCTCTGGCCCTCCATTCTCTGTATGCCTGCAAGCCTCCCTGGTGACTTCCCGGGTGTCTTTCTGCATATGGCAGTCAGGGGAAGGTCCATCCCTAAGAGCCAGAGTGCCTTGGCCTTTCAATATACAGGTGGAAACATAAGTTGTGATGAGGCAGGACTTACATGGCCTCTGGGGCAGCAGGGTGGGGGTGTAGGAGCCTCTGCTAATTTCCCTGTGTGGACATTACACTGCAGAAGTATGGGGATCATCCCCCATTCTGAGAATGGCAGGAGCTGGGGAGAGGGACAGCCTCTGGGGGTCACAGCATCTAAGCCACTACCTGAGGTAGTCCCAGACCTTCAGTAGCAGCATAGGCAAGTGGCTGCCCTGAGGGTATCCAGGTAGGGGGAGAGGCGTCCAGTGCTTGAAAGGGGTATCAGCAGCTTCCTAAGGAATTCCTCTCTGCTGGCAGTGGTGAGGCTGAGGACCACTTCTCTTTGGATGGCAGCTTCGTCCTGTGTTTGCACTGGACTGTGGATCTTCATCTGGTTCGGTGCTGGGATGTTGTGTGACCCTTTGCCTGGTGAGCTTCTCTGGGCCCAGGTTTCCCAGCTGTGGGAGTTCTTGAGGTCTTTCTATCCCAGAATATGGACTGACACCTGTGACAGGATGTGACTTTCAGATAGGCATCTACTGTGGCCCTAATGCACACTATGTAGCCACACCATGTAGAGGAAATGTCAGAGGCACTACTGGATGGGTACCATCCTATCTATTTGATCTATTCATGATGCTGGTCCCCAGGAATTGAGGCTGTTTGTGGGTAGCTGCTGCCCAGTGCCAGAGAGGATGCTACCCAGAATGCACTTAGAGGCATATTCACAAGGCCAAAGGCAGCTGGGTTTCAGCATCTATCTCTTCTTTTTTACCCAGAGCATGTTAATATGATCATGGTGTTAGCAAGATGGGGTTGGTCTGAACCCCTTTAGGCAGATGCAAGCTACCCTGTCACCCTGAAGCTGTACAGCCTCTTTAGCCATGATAAAAAGGGGAACACCACCTGTACCCTAACATCCTGGTGCTTCCCTCCCAAAGGGCTCCTACATCTCTTTCTTATTTGCATTTGATGTTTGTCTCTGTTGTAGGCTCTTTTTCTGCATCTGTTTGTTGAGTATATTTCTTTGGTGTCTTCTGCAGACTTTAGAAGCACCTTTTAAAATGCAGCATGAGATTTAGGCTGGTTTCAGCAAAGGATAGCGTCTGTAAGGCTGGGCAGGAGACAGTGGCCTCAGGGTTGGATCTGTGTAGGGCTGGCTCTGGGAGAGTCAGGAGATGAGTGTGTAGGGGTGATTGGGTGGTGGCCATGGCTGGGCATGGTCCCCGGGTCTGGTGAGATCTAGAAGGCTGATTGCAGAAGTTTTCGCGAGCCCCATGTATGCACTCATGTCTGCTTTTGACTTCACTCACAAAACATATTTAAGACTCATGTGTATCATAATATCAGCTCTTTTCTTAACTGCTGATGGATCCCCCACTGTGCAGAATTTGAGTCTGTTTGATCAAATACTTGTTCAGTTGGGTCAATTCCAGCTTTAGGCTGATGTGAATAGAGCTACTGTGAAATGCTTGTATGATGCTTTCTCTGGGCTTATGGGTTATGCCTAAGGATGACTACCAAGGGGTGGAGCTACCAGGGAATAGATTTGTTTCTTTTTTGTTAGAACCAACAAACCATCTTCCAAATAGCCCATAGTGTCTCAGCCTCCCCAGGAATTCTGCTGCCTGGGTTCCCAGGCAGGATGCATGTGCTGTCTGTTCCTAATTGTTCTAGTGTATGTACAGTGGCATCTTGTGGATTTGACTTCTGTGTCCTTGGTAACCAGTGAGGTTCAACATCTTTCCATTGGCTAACTGTCCATTTCCTTATTTTAGTCTGGAAAATATTTGTGTGGATGATTTTTCTCGTTGGTTTTTTTTAAAGTTTGGTTGCTTTTCCTTTCATTGGCTGTTGAAAATCTTAGCCCATTTGAGTTGGCCCATGTTCTTCATCACATGGGTATTTCCCTGCCTTTGGGAGTTTCTGTGCAGCGCGCACTGAAGAGCAGATGATTTTCATTCATGAAGCATAATTTATAATTCTTTCCTATAGTAGGTGCTTTCCAGACCTTCCTCGTGCGTCCTTGCCTACCTCATAATGGTGAGGCTCTCTTCTTTGCCTTTTAGGAGTGTTGTAGGTCATTTTAGCTCCCACACTTGGGTCTGCAGTTGAGTTACGTCACCTGAGACTGGGCTGAGGTGAAAGGTTGGTCTTATTCTGTGTAGACTCCTGGTAGTCTGACACTGTCTGTTGAAGTTACCTTTTGTTCAAGCCTCTGCACCCTTGCTCTGACCAGTGAATGTCTAAGGGCGAACGTCTTTTTTTCCTACTCATCCATTTTTCAATCATTATCAATACACCGTTAGTCTTATTTATTACAGGTCTTTAGGAACTATTAAACAGCTCTTCTTAGATTTTCAACTTTATTTCTCCATCTTAAAAAATATATGGCTCATCCAGGAACTTTATTTTTTCACATAAATACTAGAGGCTTGCCAATTCCTACCAAAATAATAATAATGATGAGAGAGAGAGAAGAGAAAGAAGGGGAGGATAGAAGAAGAGAAAGGGAGGAAGGACGAGGAGAAGGAGGAAGAAGAAAACAAGGAGGGGGGAGGAATGGAGGCAGAAAGAAAAAATCAGTTGAAATTTTGTTTAGGATTACATTGAATCTGTAGATCGATTTGAAGCACACTGGCATTGCAGTGGCGGGTCTTTGATCCGTGGCTGTGGTGGTGGGTATCCCAGACAACCCCTAGCCATGGTGTAGTCGACTACTCCCCGCATCTGGGGCTCCTTTGGTTTCTCTCAGTCTTAACACCTCTTTCATTAGGTATCATGTATCTTGTGATGCTACTGTAATTTCTTAAACTTGAGTTTCCTGGTGGTTCCTGCTGTTGAATAGGAGCAGTAGAATTTTGCATTCTAGATTGTATCCTGCAAGTTTATCAGATTTGCTTGGCGGTTCTTGTAGGTTCCTTCTTTTGTAGATTGTGTGCTCATGATGAAGTGATCTGCTAATAACAACAACTCTCTTCTCCTCGGTCTGCATTCTTATTGAAATCTGAGGGGGTTGTGCTCATCACAGTCCTGTTTTAGGGTGTGTTGCAGTGTCGAATGGAGGAAATCAGCAGCATCTGCCTGCTCCCCCATCACAGGGTCAGTTTCTCACTGCTAAGTGCCAGCATCTTCATCAGTACCTATTGTATTAGCTCAGGCTGCCCTTCACTCAGAGTTTGCTGGAAGTTGAGTCTGTAAATTAGGGTTATGTGGCTTTTCCTTCTGTCCAGATGATTGTGTACATTCTTAACCTTTTTGTTTGCTTGGTTTTTGCTAGTGTAGTAGATGGCACTTTTTTTAAATGAATCGTTGTGCCTATGTTTTATTAAAATAGGTTGAGACTATCAGAAAATCAGAGTATGACATGAACTGAAGAAAGTTACAACATTGGGATGTCTCTTCTTTGCCAAAATTTGCTTCAAGAAAGTATATATTTAATGTATAACAACCATGATTATATACACACATATACATATATAGAAACATACACTGAAGATGCCATCATTGAGGTTTTTGCAGAGGAATTCTAAATTACAGGATTGGTTACACTGCTTTCAAGGGCATGTTTTCTACTCACTTCTGTATAACATTTCTCAGGATTTTCCCTGACATTTAACCAAACTCTCCCAAGGGGAGGGAACTACAATCTTTGATTAGGAATGTGCCCCATAACCAACCAGTGGGATGTTACTAAGGGTTCTTCCTTAATCAAGAAAGTAAATATTTTTTAATGAGTCTTTAAAACATAAAATACCACCAATGAAATATATTAATCCCATAACAAAGTTCCCAGTATTTAGAGTGTAAAGTGGCAAGCTTTGGTCCATGTATGCACCAAAATTCAGATAATGAATGTAAAGCCACAGTCACCCTCTGCCCTTTTCCAGTCCCTTATTTACCATGTTCTCCTCCCAAAGCAGTCACCAATCTGAAGAATTTACAGAGTTGGAATTACTTTCTATAAATATTTTATAGAAATTTAACATTATATTGTCAAGCCTGGCATTTTCTTCATTAGAAAAATCATTTATAAAATGTATTCCCTTAGTGAATTAATTACTTTAAAAAATTACTTGATTTTTAGTTTAATTCTGTTGTGGTCAAATATATGTTGTGATTTCTAATCTTTGGAATTTATTGAATTTTGTTTTATGATCTCCCATATATATGATCTCTCTTTGCTACATGTTACATGTCCTCTTGATCATAATTAATTAGTTAATTAGTTATGAGTAAGTTTGTGATATGTTTTATAGCGTCAGTTAGGTTAAATTTGTTGACAATGTTCAAATCCCTGTAGTCTTTCTTGACTTCAAAAAGAAGTTGGTTTGCCTTATTGGGTTCTGAGCCAAAAGCCCCGGAAGCCCCACCTGCCACTATGGCTTTTTCCATTTCCTCTTTAAGATGCATCCATTTTGAGCGGTTTGTTCGCATGTCCAGTGCCAGGTGCACACGGAATGTCATTGTGTGCTGAAGAGCTGAAGTAACGTTGTAAATGGTGCAGTGTGCTTTATCTCTACTATCAGTTCTTCTGAAACCTCCCCTGTCTTGTATTATGGCTGCCACATAGAGGGCTTTTCTGCTCATGTTTATATGGTGCTTCTCTCCCCAGGCTTTTGTTTTATTCTGTTTGTGTCACTTTAAGTATAATGATATAGTTAGTTCTTATTCCTTGATCTACTGTGGTAATCTGTGCTCCTCTCCTTTTAGAATATTTAAATTTTTTATTTTAAGCTTCAGATTAAAATGGAACATATAAACCAGACATGATGGTACATGTCTTTTATCATAGCACTAAGGAGACAAAGACACAAGGTTCTCTGTGAGTGGAAGGCTAGCCTGGTCTACCTAGTGACAGAGAAACTCTGTTACACACACACGCACACACACATACACAAATGGAGCATATAGTCATGATATAATAAATGTGGAAAAAGCAAGTAGAATTGTTCCCTTTTAATTAAACAGTTTGATACATTTACGTTTAATATAGCTTATTGATATGATTGGATTCCTTTTGCCGTATGCATTTTTCTATTTGTTCATTTTGTTCATTTTCACTCTTATTTTCTTGCATGCTGTAGTACTAATCACGTATTTTTAAATTCATTAATATTTTGCCATTAGCACTCTTTTGTTACATTTATAATAGCTGCTTTAGAGTGTTGTCTCATAATTTTATCATCATTTTATTTCTAGGTTTCTTCTAATTGGTTTTCCTTCTGATTTTTACCTATTTTCCCGGTTCCCCTCAGAAGTAACTGCTTTGTGCTGCACACTGTAGATGGTGTGGTGCGGACCTGACTGGGTTGCGTTTTCTTTCTTTGGAAAGTGTTGCCTTTGTTCTGGCAGGTAGTTGATTTTCTTGCAGAGCAACTTGATGCATCAGACTCTCGTTTTTAAACTAGATTAAAGTGAATCAGGAGTCATTCTTATTCCCTGGTTGTGGTAGTTCTTCCAAGGCCTTCCTGTGACTCTGCTGAAGTCATCAGGCCTTCTCTTCTCTGGCAGGTAGGGCCTGAAAGATCTTCTAATCTTGTACAACTTCTTTGATACCTCTGAGTCCTCACTCACTTTGGCTGTTTCCTCTTTGCTGAGACTCATTCTATACAGATGAGTTAGAATTCAGCTGAAGCCTTTAAGGAAGCCTCACTGCACATTTCTGGAATTCTTTCTTGGCTCAATTATCTCTTCTTTGTTATTCTACCCTGCAGTGTCCAGCCTCATCAGGACTCCTGCCCTTGATCACTGTCCTTTTGATTCAGGTTCAGTGAATGGGCATGCCCACCGGGCCTTACTCTGTTTTCTGAGCTTATTATCTCCAGTGGAGATTTTGGAATGAACTGGGACTCACCAAGCCTGCTCCGTGGATTATATACCTACTGATAGGTCTGCAAGCTATGATTTGTCTAGCTTCTTCAGGAATTCCAGTTCTGTGCCAGTCACTGCATCCTGACCAGAAATCTTCTTTCCAGGACAAAATGCCACAAAGGTTTCCCACCCATTCCACCTTCAGCCTTAGAGCATGTGATTTCTTGGCTTTGCCTCTTTATAGAGACAACCCATGTGATTTCTTGGCTTTTCCTCTTTCTAGAGACAACCCATGCCTCTCTAGCCTCTTGCTTTTCTCTGAAGTTTTTTCTGCCTTGGTTAATTGTTCAGCTTCCCGCAGGAGAGACTTTGCACCCTGTCATTGTTTAGGTGTGTTATGTATAAAAATGTGTTTCCTAAAATGGAGCCAGTCTCTCTGAGATACTCACTCCTAGTGCAAACCCAGCTAGCAGTGTTCCATGCGAGGTCAACATGCAGAGGATACTGGTGGGTAATGTGAGTTGGGAACTTGCTGGGATCTGTCCATGCTCAGGGTCAACCCATGGAGTCATCCTGAAGTAGGACTAGACCTTCATGACCGCATCTGCTTTGTCCTTCGGGACAGTGGGAGAAAAGGATAGCCTCATGGCACCATTACAGCCTGTTGTTGAGCTTCTTGCCTGTAATGAACTCTACTTCAGTCTTCTGGCTAGTCAATGCATTCCTTCATGGGTGGCATGATATGTCTTGATCCCTCCTTGTGATCTATTCAGTGTATGAAGATAAGGAGGACAAACTGGGCCATCACTTAGGCCTGTGGAGAGCAGGGTCATCAAAGGTCATAGCAAGTGTCATTGATGGCAGTCAGTTTCTGCCATCAGAAGGAAAGGAAGAGGTGATTGCAGGGATAGTCAAGAATGGCCATCTTATATAGGGTTCCCTAAAGAAGTGCTGTTCAGGCACAGCACATAGGTCCAAAAGCAGTGTTAAGGGATGAAAGGAAACAGCATGGACAAAGGCCTTGAGCTTGGAGAACAAGTTTTAGCGGAGTTGAGAAAGTGGAAAGGTGAGAGGCCCGAGTAGAGTCTAGTGAGGTGAGAAGGCCCAAGCAGGGCAGCTGGAACAAACTGATGCTTGCCTCGGTTTGTTGGATCAAGTGTTTCATAGGCGCCCCGAGGTTCCTGATATAAAGAATGTCAGGATTTTCACAGCAGGAGAAGCAACCCCCAGAAATGGTTCTGCAGCAGCAAAGATGGATCTCTGGGGAAAGCAGCTTGCTGGACTGCTGCTCGTGGACACTGTCGTTGTACCCAGGGTTCTGGCTGTGTGGATCAGTGTCTGGTGATGCGTAGAGGGCATAAATGATATTCATAGACCTCCTTGAGCTTCTAGCTGCCTGAGCTCCTGTGTCACCCAGCACCTTCTTCCTGTGTATCCTTAGGAAATGCAGAGCTCCTGGGCCTGAGTTTCCCTGTCTCTAGGCAGGAACATCGGTGGCAATCTCCTTGTGCGGAGTAGTTGCTTTGGGGTATATCTCTGGCTTCCTGGACATCTCACTGAATCCCTACGGGGCTGCCACTCTGAGAGTGCCATCTTGCTTCACCAGTGGAGGTAGCCATGGGAAACTGTGTGCTCTGTAGAGTACAGAGTCAAGGACTGTTGGGGCCGGAAGTCATGATGGGCTGCCTCTGAGACGGAGCCTCCAGCCCCAAACTGTTCCTCCCATAGGAAGACACTGGAGCTGTCGGAGGCGGCCCCAGGGCAGCGGCACTGTGTTGAGTGTGTTGGGTTATTCTGTGGTAACAGTGAAGAGGGGAAACTATCAGCCAAACTGTCCTTCCTGTTTGACTCAAATCAGAAAGAGTGGGAGGGGAGAGAGGGAAAACGTGAGGTATCATTTGCCAGTGGGAGCTCCCCAGGCTTTTCTCAGACTGAGGCCCCGGGGATCGCTTTAGCTAAGCCGGAGCGTGTTAGAACTGTGACTGAATGACACGGTCATTCCCCTGGCACACAGGCCCCAGTCCTGAAGGCAAGCATCTCTGAGGTGCGCTCGGCTCCTCATGGAAGGGAGCTGTGATTTGCACAGGGCCTGGATTCCTTTGGCCTCATCAGTACTAAGGATGACTGGAAGTTGAGGGCTGAAAGCCTTGCAGCTTGCCTCTGACATGGTAGTTTGAGTCTTCAGTTCCCAATATGAGCACTGCTCTGAGAGTAGGATTGTAACAAGGCCCGGTCTCACAGAGCCAGAAAGCCAAATTGGCTCAAAGCAGTGACCCAGGCCCTTTGCACAGGTGGGGCCCTCTGGATGGTGCTCGCTCTGAGATCCCCTCTCTCCGCCTGGTCCTGTTGTTTGCATTAGGGGCACATAGCTCTAGACCTTCCGTGGTCTGAGGAAGCAGGCCTTGTCTGCATCTCTTCAGAGTGGGTCAGTTCAGGCCCAGGCTCAGGGCACTGTGCCCATCCAAACAACCAGAGGTGGAAACTGCCTGAGAACCGGTTCATTCTCAGGACCTAGCTCCACAGAGGATATGGGTAAGAAAGGCTTCCCAAACATCACAGGGGACAGGCATACCTCTGTGACAGTGAAAGGCCCTGAGTCTCCTAAGAGCAGCAGTTCCCAAACCCAGTCCACAGGGTTTTGTAGAGCTCCTCTCACTTCCTTGCTCCATCACTCAGGCCCAGGCTGCCTGCTGCTTTTCATCATCACTTAAGAGCCAGATTCCCTTTGAAAGGAAAGGGCCGAGGGGCCGACACACTGGAAAATATACTTAGTGCTAGGGTAATTAGTCCAGATGCCCCAAGTCTAAGGACAGAGACACTCAAAGACTGCAGAGGTGATGAGGGCCAACACATAGCTTTGGGTATGGCCCCAAGGTCAGGCTTCCCTAAGGTGAAAAGAAAACTAGGGAAGATGCCTGACTTCCAAAGGTTCTTGGGCTGCTAGGGGGAGCATGAGCCCTTGGTCTCCATAGAATGAGGGTAAGTAGGGCAGATGTATTGGAATGGGCATTCAGGGACCTGTGGCTTAAGAGGCCACTTACTCAGCAGGCCCCAAAGGCCCTCAAGGACTGAGAGCATGACCTTCTCAGGTACCGCCCCCGGGTGGGAGCCGCCGGAAGATCCAGACACGGGATCTGAGTGTTCCCATCCAGAGGTCACCCCATCTCCACGCTTCGTGGCAGCGAAGACCCAGGCGAACCAGTCGGGGAAAAAAGCTCCGGCCTCCGTGGTCCGATGTGCCACCCTCTTACACCGTACCCCTCCGGCTAACCAAACTCAGCCATTCCGAACTCCAAACTCGGGATCTCCAGCAAGCAAGGCAACTGCAGGTACTGATGGCTTCTGTTACCCCTGCCTCCTTGGCTCCCCACCCACCACCTGCCATAGTCTCTCCACTGCAGAAAGACTGCAGTTCCCATCATGCTTTGGGACAGACTGAGACCCATGGCCTTTGGCCACCTCTATGACCCTGGAGACCAAGTTCTAGATCTCACCTGGAGGGTTATACAACAAAATTTACAAATATTTTTAAAGTAATTTGATATGTTTTTCTTAAATCATGGCCTAAGGGGTTCTGTTCCATTTGGCCTTTATGAAAATTTAAAGCTTTTTATTAAGGATTAATTGGAAGTGTTTGAACATGAGAAGAGTCTGTATACAATTTTGGGTTTCTGGCCATGCTGAGATGTCAGATCTGGCCCCTGGGCCATGTTCCCACAGGGCAATGCTTGGTGCCTTCTTCACAGTGGCGTATGTGCACTCCCCATGTTCCAACAATCCCATCACTCCCTGCAACGGCCCTGCCGCAGCAACCAGCTGGCAGGTTTCACTTTTCATTGTGATCGCACTGTTGTCCGAGACCGTCCAGCCCAGTTCATCCTGTGTGGACCCCCTCATTGAGCTTACAAAAAACTAACCTTTTCACCTTTCAAAAAACTAACTTAAGTTGTTTCAGCATAGAGATGTTTTCCACCAAGTGGAGTGGCTGACTGGAGCTCTGTCTCCATGGCCTCCCCCTCCCTAGAGTTCACTCATGAAAGCCTCCAGGAGATAGAGGCTCAGCAAGAGTCTAGAGCATGCCAGCTCCAGGAGTTTCAAGGCTCACGCAAAAAGGGGCTCTGGCTCCAGGTGACTGGGTAACAAAGTCCCCTCTGATCATTTCTTTTAACATATAAGACCTGCTATGTGCTAAGTGACAGCTGCCAGGAATCCTGGACCCCCCAACCAGATGATGGTGCTATTCTTCCCGAGGCCGCAGGTTGCCTTCTTTCAGTTGCCTTCAGGAGGCCAAAGCTCTCTACCAAACACAGACTGATTGTGTTGAGAGGTCAGATGGATGAGCCACTGTGGTCATTTGGTGGCTGGCACCCTGACTAGGTGATTAGTCGTTCATGCCGTTTCTCTGGTTTCAGAAGCTAATTTGTGTTTACTGTGCTCAAAGCTCCCCAAAGGAGGGGACTCAGCCAGCCTCGAAGTGTGGAGTTTCCAGGTGCTGCGCTGTGACAGTTGTGGTTCTGGCTGCAGTCGGGAGGCTAAGTCGGGAGGATCTAGCCCTACTTGGGCTACAGAGAGGGTTCAAGGCTAGACTCGGCAACTTAGTTAGACCCTGTCTTAAAGTTAAAAAAAAAAAGAGAGAGAGAGTTGAGGATATAGTTCAGTGAAAAGTGTGATTGTGGAAGGCCTTGCTTGGGGTTCCGTCCTCAGCACCTTAAAAGAATTAGGAAGACTGTCCATCATAGTCTCCCTGATGGTAGACATTAACTCACCAAATAAGATCATGGCTTTTTGACTTGGCTCTCTTCTTGAGCTTTGTGGCTGAGTTTTTAAAGGTCTGCAGCTCTACAGAGAACTCTCTGTGTGGACTGGCATGGCATTTGGCAGTCATTGAATGTCACTATCTCCAGGTAAGTGTCTAGCAGCATGTTTCTATGAGGCTTGGAAGCCCTAGTGGATCTTGGCTAATCATCTGGGTACCAGGTTGGGAGAAGGAGATGACAGGGGCTGTGAAATGGTGCACGTGAGAGATGGAGGTTGTCACTGTCCTTTTCCTGGAGAGTATGGTTGTTTGTGTGCATGTGACTATGTACACATGAATGCATATTTCACCTGAAATACCACACACTGGTGTCCAACCAGAGGCCCTTGCACCAGGAAAGGCAAGCAATGGGGGACTTGCTACAGGAGTTGGTGACGTGAGTTGTGTTAACTCTTACCCACCTATGTGTTAGAACAAAAATTCTGCCTACCTGGCTGTACCCCTGTGAACACAGGCTAAGATAGAGAAGGGGATCCCTTCTTTCTTAAAGGCGAGGCACCTGCCCCCAGGTAAAACCCCACATGCTCTCCTAGTGGAGCCAAACGCCTGGTAGCTTCCGTTTGTTTCTCTGCCTGTTAAATGGGCAGTACTGCACAGCCTCGTGGTGTTGGGAAGATTAAAGGAGACCATGATGGCAAACTTCTCACCCAGTATCTGGTATACACTAGGTACTCAAGAGTGAGAGCCCCTCACCCTCTGTAGATAGATATTGAATAGGTCTCTGCCAGTTTACAGGCGATCTGGAGGCACTCAACCCGCAGGACCCAGACAGAACATGGTCTTTATAAAGCAAGTAGCCTATACAGCTTATGGGAGACTTTGAGGTGAAGGTAAAAGAACTGAGCAGGCCTCTAGGAATGCCTCTGGGTGCCTTTCTCATCTGTCACTCACGTCATCCATGACCCCAGGGCACCAACATCCAGCACTTTATTGGGTAGCGAGGACCTGCTGGTGGTGTTTTTCCAAGTGGTTTCTTAGACACACCACTTGGAAGGCTAGCCCAGAATCTTACTTTAAAATCCCTATATTTTGAGGGTATCTTAAGTTAAAGCCCACTGGCTTTCCTGGTCACTTTCTCTGAGCCTTGGGTAACCTCATCCAAGCTGCTTAAAGGAGCAGGGCTAGCTGTCTCTCTCAAGCTGACTTTCCTGAGACCTCATCTCCTGGATCAGCCATGCTCCGTAGTATGCAGAGCATCATGGGAAAGCTGGGTTATCTTCTGCTCATGCCGGTTGGGGCTATAAGTATGGAGTTTTGCTTGGCTGGGCCCATCTCTGCATTATGGGATTTCCAGAGTAATCCTGGGAGATGGTGAGCTTTGTGGAAGGTGCTAGAAAAGGCTTACAAGGAGCCACACACTCCTCCCTCCCCTACATGAGCTCTGACTCTCCTCATCCAGCCCTTGGCCTTCCCAGAGCAAGTATAGAACTACGCCTGATGACTTGATCCTACAAGCATACGGCCTGGGAGTAAAAAATAGGGCCCTGACCTGTTTGGTGCCAGCTCATTGGCTGCATTTCATCTGTGCTCTTGGGCAGGCCACCGCTTCCCTCTCCATCCCTATACAGCCCCAGGCACACATTCTCCAAGCTCCAGGGGCCTCCTGCCCACTCCGTCCTGACAGACAAGCTGACCATTCCCCATGGTATATTCCCCACTCTCTTTTCCCTCCCAGCAGAAAGCACCTTCAGTCGGCGAGTAGAAAGTAAAGCACAGAACCACTTTGAAGAGACCAATAGCAGCTCGCAAAACTCCAGCGGTAAGTGTGGCTGTGGTGTGACATGTGACATCAGGTGTGTCCTATACTGCACCGTCCCCTCCTTCCACAGAAAGGCAGGTACCTTTGACTGGAGTCTTCTGGTGCGTGGCTGGGCTTGTTGGGAAGTGGGCTGGGTAGGGAAACAGAGAGACAGCAGAGCCTGTGGCAAGCAGATGGGGCCTTTGTGACCACTGATGCCACTCTCTGTAGCTGTACTTTGTCCTTTGGCCCTTGCCCATGGAGAGGGGAACGTCCTCACTCTCAAACTCAGGTATCAGTTTAGCCAGCTCAGATGAGTAGCCCTAATAGAGCTAAGTTATGAGTGACGCTGTATGTAGTAGGTTTCTTTCCAGGAGAGGCCAGTGGGGTGCAGCAGAGAGACTGCTTACAGGAGCCAGAGGTCGAAGCTCCTGGTGCCACACAGGGGCCACACTACAGATCGTCCTCCAGACGCTGCAGTGCTGTGGCTCTGCCTGAGAGCTCCTGAGAGTGTTTGCTGCCACCTGGTGGCTACCTTGTGCCGGGTCCTAGAGGCACAGCTCTGGACTCCAGGGTTTAGCTGTGGCAGGGATGTGGATGGTCACCAGCAGTCTCTGTCAGAGAAAGGGACAGCAAGGTTGTATGCACAGTGATGGCCAGGACAGGTCTTCCGCCATTCACTGAGTATTAGGCCTGAGTGAATGCCCCCCCTGTACCTACAGTCAGGTGTATACAGGGGTACGTCTTGGCCACCATGGGCTTCAGCAAATGGTTAGGAGCACAGACACCAGGTGGAGGCTTCTGCCTAATAGTAGACCCCACCTCTCTGGAGCCCAAGTTTGAACTCAGCTCCACTGCCTCTAGGGAGTGGCCTAGATGAACCCTAATTCCTCCATGGCTATAAGTAGCCCGAGGAACACAAACAGCCTAGAGGACACAGGCAGGAGAGAGGGGTATGTTGCTTTGGACGTTGTTTGCCTTGTTTTGCTTGGAGTAAATCAAACATTTGGCGCAGGTACCAATGCAAGGTTGTCACGGTGATCCTCAGAGTCTGTGAGGGGTCAGTCTAGGAGCGATGGGATGACGCACCCAAGGCCATAGAGGATTATGTGGCAGCCTAGAACTAGAACCAAGGGCATGTACTTGTCCTACCCAAGCTATGCTGTCCGTCTTGCACTTCTCCTGCCAGCAGGGCTAACGTTTGTTTGGGGATGATGCTGCCATGGGCTCCTGCTGCTGCTGGCAGCCACTGTCTATTGAGTGCTTATGATGTGGCTGGCGTGTGTTTAGAGCTTTGTGTGTTGTGTCTGTTTTCACCCTTACCACAATCCTTTGGGGATAGTGTTCCTGTTATTACCACTTTTCAGATGAGAAAACTGAGGCTCAGGATAAGTCCTTTGTAACCCAAGGTCCCCCAGACTGGAGATGGAACCAGGACCCTCATACTCAGCCTGCACTCCACTTTGCTGCCTGCTGTATTGGAGGCTTGCCAACCTCACTCTCTGACAAAGCCAGACAACAACCTTCCAGGGCTGTTCAGGTGCCTTGGTACCAAACACTCTCATCCTACCATCAGAACCTGGAAATGGCTTTCCACAAGTGTGTGGCCATACGGGCATCATACCTGAGTCCACAATGGCCTTACTGTTAGAGCACCCTAGAGAAATGCCCTACCAGCACCATGTGCCCTCTTTGATGTGCAAGGCCTCTCTGCCAGTACCCTCTCACCCACCTTTCCACACAGGTGTGTGCCTGCTGACAGGTGCTCCCTCTACTGGGGGTGGCCGGCTCACCACTGTGATGACCTCCCAGCCCCAGCACTGAAAAAGACTTCGCTAAACTGTTTCTCTTTTGCAGAAACTGCAAGTCCCCTGATTTCCAACCCTTTCCCTCTCCTGCAGAGTAAGTGGTGGTCCTGCTGGGGGGCTGAAGAGGGCCAGGCAAGACAGGGAGTGACTCGGCTGGCCTCCCTAAGGTGTAGACAGGCCTTGGGCCACCCTCGAGGGAACAGCCACCAATAGCCTGGGGAGGCTGCTGAGGGTCAAGAGGGTGGAGAGGTGTGGACAGGTAGGCAGAACCCTGAGCACACAGGAGGAAGGACAGGTGGGCCCACTCCTGGCCATCCAGACAGCCTCAGGACTTCTCTTGCAAGCCACCTTCCTCCCTCTCTTCCCTCCCCTCCTAACTGTTTTCTTTCCTCCCACCTCCCTTTTCTTTGCCAGGCAGGGGTGCGAGTCCTGGACGCCGAGCTTTTGGCGCAGGTGCAGCCTGTTCCCCTCTGTCCATCCCCTGATCCCCCACTGCTGCACTTCCCTCCAGCTCCTTCTCTTTCCCTCATTGCTTTGCCCTCCTCCCACTGTGAGTTTCCTTGTTCCTTCGTGCATCTGTTCATTCGCTCCCTCCGTGAGCAGTGACCCTTGTGTGGTCACTGGCAGAGGGTTAAGCTCTGAATCCCGAAGGACACAGTCTCTTTCCTGGGAGCTCTTGATGCCTGGATGTTGTACTTCCCATGTGCTCAGAACAGTGTCTGCCATGAAGTAAGCACTCAATAAGCAGTGGGCCCATTGAGTTAGCAGCCTGGATCTGTGTGTCTTCCCCTCTCTGTGCTCCTGCCTCTCCCCAGCCTTTCCCTCTCTAGGCTAGTGACAGGCCAGTGGACAGGCTGGTCCCAGGGCCCCAAGTATGCATCTGGGTCACCACTTCAAAGCTGCCTGCAGCCCAGTGTCAGGGTACCTGGGTATGGGGCACTTGTTACATGCCACCTGTCTCTCCAGAACCCTACACGTGCGGCGCCTGTGGGATCCAGTTTCAGTTCTACAGCAATCTTCTGGAGCACATGCAGTCCCATGCAGGTAAGGCCCTGAGAGTGCGCAGACACACAGATGGAAGAGACCAGCAGAGCCCGCCCAGAGCGCATGCTCCTTTCTGAACCAGACCTACTCAGTGCTGTCACTTCCTGGGAGTTTACCCTCGAGCCCAGGCCAGCCAGGCCTTCATTGCTGGCTAGTCTGAGCTCTGGAGTCTCAGCTCAGGCTTAGGGTGGTTTGGAGTTGGGGGTGGAAGAACGGCTTCGCAGAGAGTGCAGGCCAGGAGAAGAGACCTGGAAGTGGGTGTTGTGTGTGGTTCAAGGTAGAGAGGCCAGCAGTAAGCTAAGTTGTGCTCAGGCCTTCCTAAAGCAGTCCTGTTCTGCCTCTCCACAGTCCTGGTGCTCAAACTGAAGCTCATGAAGGAATTAGCAGGGAGGATTTTGGGGTGGAGGGAGTCCACAGTTTACTAGGGCTGGGACGGCTCCATCTCACAGGCTCAGCCATTTGCTGTCAACCTTCTGAGCTTGTCCTCACTCTTGTCATTGCACAGCACAGGTGTTCAGCTTTCCAGCCTGTTCTGGTCTAATTTCTGCTTAGTCAGAGAAATACTATGTGTCAATAGGGAGAGTCCACAGTTCCCCAGCATTTCCACACACAGGTTACTATAGCCACACAGCCTGCAAGAAGCTGGCTGGGGACCTCCCATGTAGGTACTTAGGGGTCCAGGTCCCTTCCCTTTTACGGTCCTATATAGAGGTGTTCTTCTCTGACTGGTGGGTGTTGAGAGAGGCAATGGAATACACTAGTGACACAAATCCTCAGTGCTTAGTTTCCATTGGTGGGCACATAGGCACATGACTGTCCTGAAGCTGTGGCGGAAGTGTGCCCAGAGCCTCTTTCCAGGAATAGCCCAACACTTTGCAGAAGAAACTATGCAACTGAGCAAAGGGGCAGCTAGCACCTATTTCTCCAAAGAGTTCTTCTAGAGACACTAGAAATAAAATATACCATCAAGGTGTCAAAGCAGATGCTGAGACTCAGCCAAACTTTGGGCAGAGTGCAAGGAATCTTATGAAAGAAGAAGGAGATAGAAAAACTTGGAGGGGAGAGGAGCTCCACAAGGAGAGCAACAGGACCAACAAATCTGGGCCCAGGGGTCTTTTCTGAGACTGATACTCCAATCCAGGATCATGCATGGAGATAACCTAGAACCCCTGCACAGATGTAGCCCATGTCAGCCCAGTCTCCAAGTGGGTTCCCTAATGAAGGGAACAGGGATCATCTCTGACATGAACTCAGTGGCTGGCTCTTTGATCGCCTCCCCCTGAGGGGGGTGGGGTGCAGCCTTACCAGGCCACAGAGGAAGACAATGCAGCCAGTCCTGATGAGACCTGATAGGCTAGGGTCAGATGGAAGGGGAGGAGGACCTCCCGTGTCAGTGGACTTGGAGAGGAGCATGGGAGGAGAAGAGAGAGGGAGGGTGGGGTTGGGAGGGAAAGATGGAGGGGGCTACATCTGGGATACAGTTGAATAAACTATAATTAATAAAAAATAAAAAGAGAAAAAAGAAAGAAAGAAAATATGGAGTAGGATGGTGGTGTGTACCTATAATCTCATCAACTGGGAACCCAAGGCAGGAAGATCACAAATTCCAGGCCATCCTGGCTAACACAATAAGACCTTGTTTCAAAAAGATCAAAGATATGAAGAGAAATATTGTATGAAATGTGTGTGATGCATGATGAAAGCAAAGTAGTTGGCACTGTTGGCAAGGCCAGTTATCATTCGTGTCCCCTGAAGTTTACAAAGCCATCAGGCAATCCTCCAGATTGTGTCCGACTAGCTCAACTTTCCAGGTTGTCTTAGTCGCTGTTCTTGTTGCTGTGAAGAGACACCGTGACTACAGCAACTCTTAAACACCGTGACTACAGCAACTCTTACAAAAGAAAACATTTAATTGGCTGGCTTACAGTGTCAGAGGTTTAATATCATCATGGCAGGGAGCATGGTGGCACACAGGCACATGGTGCTGAGAGTTCTACATCCAGATCCACAGGCAGCAGGAAAAGAGAGATACTGGGCCTGGCTTTGGCTTTTGAAACCCCAAAGCCCAGCCCCAGTGACACACTTTCTCCCACAAGGTTATACGTATTCCAACAAGACCACACCTCCTAATCTTTCTCAAGTAGTGCCATTCCCTGATGACCGAGCATTCAAATATGTAAGCCTATAGGGGCCATTTTTATTCAAACCATCACATTCCACTCCCTGGCCCCCATAGGATTGTAGCCATATCAAAATGCAAAAGTGCATCTACTCCAACCTCAAGAGTCCCCACATCGTTTACAAGTCCAGAGTTTCTTGTAAGACTCATGACATTCTCTGAACTGTAATCTCCTTTAAAACCAAAATCAAAAAGAAGATCACAGGTCTCCAGAATACAAAAACACAGAATATACATTATCATTCCAAAAGGGGGAAAGGGAGCATAGTGAGGAAATATTGTAAGGAAATATTGGACCAAAGCAAAACCAAAACCCAGCGGGGCAAACCACATTTCGTATCTCCATGTCTGATATCAAAGTGCTCTTCAGTTCTCATCCTCCTTCCAGCTTTGTTGACTGCAACAATTTTTCTCTCTTTGGCTGGTTCTATACCCAGTCTTCAGCTCTCCTTGGCAGGATATTTCATGGCTCTGGTATCTCCAACATCATGGCGCCTCAAGCACAATACAGCATAACACCTTGACGGTGTCACACAATTGACTTCCTGGGTCTCCATACAGGGACACCCCTGACACATACCTATCCTCAACAGCTTTTCTTAGCCACAAGGAAAGATTTTTGTTATTTTTTTTGGGGGGGGCGGGGAGGGAGAGATCAAAATTCCTTTCTCTAAAGGAATTTTTCTTGACTCTAAAGCCAGGACAACATGGGCAAAGAAAGCTGCCAAGTTATGCTGGGGCTGGAACGTGGCCCCCTTGTTGAATTACATCTTCACCAGCTTTCTGTTGTTGATGGTTTCTTCACTGCTTAATCTTCAATTCCTTCTCACAAGTTGGAAGCTTAGCTGTGTGAGGTCTTACCCTGAGGTCACCACTCCCTTTACTCTATTTAGCTTCAGGCTTTTCTTTAAATATTTTATGTCTTTGATCACAGGATTTAGCTCCATTAACTTCCAGGTGCTCTTTTTCTCCTTAAACTGTACATTTTGTATTTTTGTTGCTCAGACTGCTTTTTTTTTCTTTTTTTCATTACAGATCTGTTTAAGAGTGGCTATAATAACCATGCGACACAGTCAATAATAGGCTGTCTTGAAGTCTCTTTTGCCAGTGCCATTAATCCAAAACTCTTCGATATAGCAAGCAGATTTTTTTTGGACAAGGGCAAAAAGCAGCCATGTTCTTCGCCAAAATATCATAAGAAGAAAATGGTCTCTAGGTCATTCTTCCCCTCTGAAAATTCTTGAGCTGGTCCCCACAGTTCAAATCGCCTTTCATGCTTCTACCTCTGTGGCCCATCAAGCCCCCTTACAGCATTCAAGAGATTCCTAATCCAGAGTCCCAAAATCAACATTCCACCCACAAGCTGGTCAGGCCTGTCATAGAAATACCCATCCCCTGGTACCCACTACTGCCTTAGTCAGTTTCTATTGCTGTGAGGAGACATGACCACAGCAACTCTTATAAAAGGAAGCATTTATTTGAGGCCTTGCTTACAGTTTCACAGGTTTAATATATTATCATCAGGTCAGGGAACTTGGTGGCACATAGACTGACATGGTTCTGGTGAAGTAGCTGAGAGCTCTATATCCAGACCCCTGGGTAGCAGGAAGAGTGAGTCCCTAGCCCTGACTTGGGCTTTTTGAAACCTCAAAGCCCACCCTCAGTGACACCTTCTCCCACCAGGGCCACAGTTACCTCAATAAAGTCCACACCTCGTAAACCTTCTCAAGTAGTTCCACTCCCTGGTGACTAAACATTCAAATATATAAGCCTAAGGGGACCATTCTTTTTTTTTTTTTACAACTTATTCACTTTATATTCAAATTGTAGCCCACTCCCACATCTCCTCCTGGACCTTTTCTCCTTCCTTCCCCCGCTAAACACCCATAGTCCACTGAAAGAGGGAGTCTTCCTCTCTTGCTCTCTGACTAGCCTATCTAATTGTATCAGGACTGCCTGAATCCTCTTCCTCTGTAGCCTGGCAAGGTCACACCACCAGGGGATGTGATCAAAGAGCAGGCAACTGAGTTCATGTCAGAGGCAGCCTCTACTCCCCTTACTTGGTAATGCACATAGAGGCTGAGCTGTCTATGGGCTACATCTGAGCAGGAAGTCTAGGACCTCTCCTTGCATGGTCCTTGGTTGGTGCATCAGTCTCTGCAGGACCCCTCGGCCCAGACTTTTTGGCTTTATTGGTCTCCTTGTGGAGCTCCTGTTCTCTTTGAGTTCTTTTATCCTCCCATTCTTCCATAAGACTTCCCTGCCCTCTGCCTAAAGTTTATCTGTGAGTCTCTGCATCTGCTTCGATCCCCTGTTGGGTGAAGCCTTTCAGAGGATCCTCTATGGTAGGGTCCTGTTCCTCTCTTCCACTGCTTCTGGTGTCTATCCTGTTTGCCATTCTGAATGAGAGTTAAGTATCCTCTTTAGGGTTTTCCTTGTTTAGCTTCTTTAGGTCTGCAGATTGTAGTATGGTTGTCCTATATCATATGGCTAATATCTGCTTATAAGTGAGTATATACCATGTATGTTTTTCTGGTTCTGGGTTACCTCACTCAGGATGATCTTTTCTAGTTCCATCCATTTGCCTGCAAATCTCATGATTTCCTTGTTTTTAATAGCTGAGTAGTAAGTATTCCATTGTGTAAATGTGCCACAATTTCTGTATCCATTCTTCGGTTGAGGGACATCTGAGTTGTTTACAGATTCTGGCTATTACGAATAAAGCTGCTATGAACATAGCTGAGCAAATGTCCTTGTTGAATGGTGGCACATCTTTCAGGTATATGCCCAGGAGTGATATAGTTGGATCTTGAGGTAGTGC